TAGGTTAGGCTAGCCACCTCTGGGAAAAGAAAGGATAAAGGCAGACCCAGAGAATCCTTTCTCTGGTTACCCACAATACTTGAGATCAGCACAACAGAACCAGGTCCTCTACTTGGCTTGGGTGGTCAAGGAAGGAGATACTCAGAGGTCCCTTTCAGCTATTTAACTATGGTTCTTAAGCTTATAATGTGGAAATATCTTTTCAACCACTTCTCAAATTAAAATTAAAATAAATGTTTAAAGCCAGGTGTGGTGCCCCATACCTGTAGTCCTGGCACTCAGAAGGCTGATGTTTGATGCCAGTCTGGACCACACAGTGAGACCAAGTCTCAAAAAAATAAATGAATAAATGTTTAAGCCAGGCATGGTGGCACATGCCTACAATCCCAGCACTCTAACAGGCTGAGACAGGAGGATCTTAAAGTTTGAGCCCAGCCTAGACAATATATCAACTTAGCAAGAACTTGTTTGACAAACAAAAAAGGTGGGCTGGGGATTTAGCTCAATGGCACAAGCACTTGCCTGGCAAGTACAAGGTTGTAAATTCAATCCCTGGTACACACACACACACACACACACACACACACACAGAGTCTTCCTGTAGAAGACCCTAGGTTCAATCCCTACTACTACAGTAAATAAAATGTTTACAAAAACTCCATTGCCTGGCTCTTATTCATACTTCTTTTAGCACACTCAAGAATTAAACTCAGAGAGAGTGACTTCAATCTACATTCATCTGCCTATATCTAAGTACCATTAAGTCTACCTCCACCTTGTTTTCGTGCTTCCCCATTGTTTGTCACCTCTACTACCCCTGAGCTCCTTGCCTCTCTCAGCATCTTTCACTAAAACCTGGGAATGGTCTCCTAACTTCTCCAGGTCCACTGCAATCACATTATCACCATTAGGATTGCCTCCTACCCCATTTTCAGACACAGAACTGCAGTGTCCTCAGGAACAATGCTAGCTTTCACCACAGTCACTCCAGACTTTGTATCTTCTTATCCAGTCACATTTCCTAGTCAAGCTGATTTGTTTCAGGATGTCTTAAAATTCTTCTTGAAATGAGAGCAAGTAAGGGGGAAAAAAATCACAAGACAGGAGAAAAATACAACGTATGTCATAAAATAAGTGATTCAGGGTAGTACACTCCCATAATCCTGGCACTGCATTTAAGAAGCTAAGGCAGGGGTCTGGGTATTTAGCTCAGCAGCACAAGCACCTGCCTGGCAAGTGCAAGGTCCTGAGTACAATCCCTAGTTCCAAAAAAAAAAAGCTAAGGCAGATCACAAATCCAAAGCCAGCTTGAGTCACATAACTAGTTTGATAGCATCTTGGACAACACAGCAATAACCTGTGATAAACAAAACTAAAAAACAATAAAACCATGTGGTTAACTGGTAAGTAAATTATTCTACCGCCAGATGTGTTGACACAGGCCTGTAACCCCAGCACTTGGAGGCTGAAGCAGGTAGATCACTGTGAGTTTTGAGGCCAGTCTGGAATGCATAGTGAGTTCAGGGCCACCCTGGACTACACAGCAAGACCCTGTCTCAACCCTCTATCCCCAAAAAAGGCTTATTTTGGCCAAATTTAAACTAAAAATATAGTCAGGAACACTATATCCAGGAACAGAAGGGGCAGGGGGTGTATGTGTGAAGTGCCTGGCATACAACTTCTATTATAAATGATAGATAGGGGCTGGGGATTTAGCTCAGCAGCATAAGCGCCCGCCTTGCAAGCAGGCAATTGTGAGTTCGATCCCCGGTACCGATAAAAATGAAAAAAGACCAAGAAAAGAAAAAAAATAAATAAATGATAGATAGTATAGTATTAGCATTATTTTATAGCTTAAGATAGCCTTTATACTTGGGTATCGGATAAACTGGTTGAAATGAGTCTTTGTACAGTTCTACCAAGAACTAAAAGTAGTTACAAGCCCTAGAGTCCACAACTAGTATATGATGGGATCTTTAACAGTCTGACTCCTTAACTAAGGCAAATCCCAATGCAATATAACAATATCAAAGTTTATAACATATTGATAATCTTAAACCAGAATGTCTCAACTAGGGGTGATTTTGGCTGGCACCAATGGATACTGGCAATGTGTGGTGATATTTTTTGTTATTACAATTAGGTGATGAGGGCAGGTATTTCTAGCATCTAGTCACAAAATCCTCACAACAGTTATATGGCCCAAAATTTTAATAGTGCTAAGGATGAGAAATCCTACTTTAGAAATCTTACCTGTGAAATTTGTTAGGAAAATGAAGACAAAAGTATGGCTATACTAGTGATGGTGCATGCTTATTATTCCAGATACTTGGGAAGCTGAAGCAAAAGGATCAAAATTCAAGGGCATTCTAGGCAACTTAATGACATATCACAAAGAAGGTAGGGGCTGGGAACACAGCTTAGACACAGAAGGCTTGCCTAGCATGCGCAAAGCCCTGGGTTCAACTTCACTGGCAAACAAACAAAAATAAGTATGCCTATATTCCAAAAAATACTTCTTCCTATTTTTGTAGTTGTTGTTTGTTTCTGTTTTGTTTTTTGGAGTGCTGGAGACGCACTCAGGTCTGTGTACGTACTAGGCAAGACAAGTGTTCTACCACTGAGTTACATGTCTCAGGCACCTGGCCTACTTTTTAAAAAATTTTGAGATGAGCCGGGCGTAGTAGCTCATCCCTGTAATCCCAATACTTGGGAGGCTGAGGCAGGAGGATCATTTCGAGCTTGAGACCAGCCTAGGCTACAAAGTAAGCTCAAGGCCAGCCTGAACTGCATAGAGACCCTGCCTCAAAAAGAAAAAAATAATTTTTTTGAGATGGGTTTTCGCTAAGTTCCAGGTTGACTCCAGATTTACCATTTTCCTACCTCAACCTCCTAAGTAGCTAGGATTATAGGTGTGTACTGTCATATGTATCTTTCCTCTACTTTTAATCTCTCCAATCCACCCTGTCTGAATAGGTCCTGTCATCCTAGGGAAGAATGTTGAGTTTTTTTTCTTCCCCTTAAGACTGATGACAGAAAAAGCATGCTTGTGCTGCATGAGACAAAAAACATGAATGCATAGTGAGCAAGCAGAAAGTGCAATGATGTTCTTCATCCAAAATAAGTATGATTTTATTTTCTTAACTCTTTTGGCCAACACATATCATATACCCATTATATGGAAGGTGTTGTTGAGTTCAGCAGAGAATACAGAACAGAGTAAAAGCTGTCTTGCCCCTGAGCTGTGGAAAGCACAGCTGTAACTTCCACACAAAGCAAAGCATGAATATAGGAATACAGCATATCCATTTGGACAAACTGGAAGGAACAGCTTCAAAAGAAAGAAGTGACCTTAGCTGGGCCCTAAAAAAATGGGGAAGGTGTCATAGAAGAAAGTGGAAGGGGAAAGCACTTCTGACCAAAAAATATAAGATAGGATGTTTGGCTTAGTTTGGTTGTAGTATACAGCATCCTGGGATCAAGTTCAAAATGGAAAAAAAAACCCTACACATATATTTTTTAAAAAGGCAGTGTTACTCTTGTTGTAAAAGAAAACTAGCTCCCTCTAGTTGCACTGCAAAGTAGAAATGAGGAACAAGACAGTAACAGAGTGACTATCAGCAGAGGGGGTGACCCTTTGCCTGATGGCACCTCTATGATGCTTCCAGGGATGCCAATACTGTTAGCAGGGAAGAGAGTGTCTTTCCCCCGCTTTCCCTGGGGAGTAAAGAACAACTTCTTCAGTACTTCCACCAACAATGTAAAACTAGGACAAAACTACTGGTTATCATCAGCTTCTCTGTACCAGAGTCAAGGTGGATGAGTACAATTCACCTGGGTAGTGCTCTGCCACTACCACAGAGTTTAAGAACGACCCTCTCCTAAAACACATCTGTGATCTACCAGTTCCAAACTTAGTCACCCTGACGTCCGAGTTTGGCACTAAACGTGGTGTCTTCCTGATCCTCCACGGGACCTCGGCCTGAGCCTTCCAATTCCGGGATCACAGTCTCCCGAGTGGGGGCACTGTCACCAGCTCGGACTCCAGCAGCAAGGGCATTAACTGTCCCTCCTGCAGATCTAGATCTTCACCCCCCAACAAAAGTCTGCAAGAGAGACACTGCCCGGGTTTCACACCCAGGGCCATCTGAGTACATCCGGGCGGGTTACTGATGGGTGGGAGATTTTGGCTGGCGTCCAGGCCTGCTACCAGGAGCTGGGCCTCGGCCCCTTCGTGGACAGCGTGGAGTGGGCAGCGTGGGGCTCGCATGAGTGCTCTGGGCGAAGATAGATTTCGCGGCCGCCCGCGGAGAGCACGTGCCTGGGAATGCCGGCTTCGCGGCGCGGAGGACAAAGTCCGCCCCTGCCGGTTCCGTAGTACGGGAACTTGGCACCTGGCGGGGGCAAAGCGGGCAGGGCCTATGTGCGACCCCAACCCTAATCCGGGCTCTGACCCCACTTCGGGCTCTCCCTCCTGGGACCCCAGCACGCACTCACCATTGTGGTTGACCCAGGTTGGCTTCAGAAGCTTCATTGTTCGGCCGCCGCCGGGCTGTGGCGAAAGCCGCGTCCCTCAGTGCGCTCGGGCCATGGAGCCACCGTTGCCGCTTCCTCCCGCGCCGCCCTCTCTCCAGCCGCCGCCCACCCCACGCCCTCAGCGCCGTCGCACCATGGCCGGCCCGCGCCCCCCGCCGCCGCCACAGCCGCCCCCCGCGCTTGGCCGCCGCCGCCGCCACCACAGCCGCATCCCCTACGCCGCTCCTCCTCCGGCGGCTCCCGGGCAACGCCGGAAGTCACGGCGCGCACCTGCCAAATCGCCCCGGCGGGAAACCACTTCCCACGCGGACGGGCCCACTAGGGCTCTGGCAGCCGCAGGAGCGTAAAGTAGCTCGGCTTTAGGTAGAGCCGGGACGCGGCCGCTGACGGGGGGCGGAGCAGCTGGAACGGCGGCGGGTGAGCGGAGCCTTCAGTAGCACCCTGGGCCGTCTTGGCTGTCCCGAGTGCCAGCGGGCCCGGGGTATGTTGGATAGCCTGTCACTAGCTCTACCTCGCTGGTTTCAGGTCCGACTTATTAACTAGGTCCCATCATTCATCAACAGGCACTACTTGGCATTTTTCGAGGGCTGACACTGGAATGCAGCCACCAGAGGGCAGATGAATGAGGGAAACGAACCAGCCACGGGGAGAGCGGCAGGGGAGACGGAGGCGGGCGCTATTATTAGAAACCCAGGCCTCGTTTTAAGAGATGTGGACCCAATGGGGCAGAGAGACGCTCCCCTGACCACTCCCGCTACACTGCGCGGGCCCAGACCTTGGCGAAGACACAGCAAACAACTAGGCAGGAGCTAGCCGAGCTAATGCCCGCCGTAGGGGCGGGCTCACCGCGCCAAAGAGGGCGAAAGGGAGGATCTTAACAATCTCGAAGCGTGCGGAGCCCGCAGCTCGTAGCGCACGCCTGGAACGCCCAAGGCGGGGCTGCGTTGGGGGCGGAGCCAGACTAACCCCCCACCCCCACCCCCACCCCCGGCCGAAAAGCAGAAGAGCGTGTCCCAGCTACTTGGGGTTCTCAGCTCGAGAGGCTGTGTTGCTAATAGCAGAGAAGCGCACTTCCGGAAGCTTCACACGGGTGGCGGGAAAGGCCATGGCCGCAGGTGTGCTGCGGTCCTCTGCGCGGGCTTTGCGTCTGTCAACTGGGTGAGTGCGGACACTGGCCAGATCACGGAGTGCCCAAGGCACTGGCCGATTCCGGCCCGGGATTTTCTGCGATCCTTCCCTGGTGTCCCTTTCTAAGGCCATCAGAGCTGATCATATCTATTATGGATGAGGATCCTAGGACACTATCGTGCAAGAGCCCAATCCAAGTGTTGTGTTGTGAATGGAAATTTTTGAAAAATCTCCACGTTGTCCTTAGTGTCATACCCAGTACTGACAAAATACTCCCACATTTATTGGACACGGTTTGTGTATGCTTTTTTTTCACCTGTGAAGTAGGGAGAATCAAACGTTGATCCATACTTTTCCTCTTTTAGGCTTCCTGGAACTTGGTGGACACAAATCAGAGATACTCACCAGCGAGCTTCATTGTTGGCTTTCTGGGAACTCATTCCCATGAGGTAAAACTTAAGGCTGTGACCTCTTGAGGGAGTGAACACAACTGAATGCTGTGACCTCTCTGGGAGTGTGAGCACCTCTCTGGGGGTGTGAGCACAAGTGTGTGTGTGACAAGGACAAAGCAAAACTGACATTTGGTTTTTACAAAATCCACCACCTACAAAACTTTTACTGGTTAAATTTAGGCAGGTGCTTTTTTGTCTTTTCAATATTCTCTCAATTACCTTTGAAGAGAGTCTTGTGTGTTTTAAAGGGTACACTGCTGTTTCTTTATGAGCCTTCCTCTTGTTTTGGAGAGGGGGATTTCTAGGACTAATAGAATTTCCACCTGCGATTCTTTCTAAAGACTTGATTCAATTTTAATGCTAAAGGATTTGGTTGTCTTAATAGTAAATTATAACTGGAAGATGTGTTCCTAAGAGGAAACCAGCTCTAAGATAATTTGTTAAGAAATCCTGACAATACAGACATGCGAGTCACTTTTAAGATATTGTCTTTTTTAGTCTTAAAAATTTTCAATGCTGAAAAGACTGAGGAAAAAGGAACCCTTCTCCACTGCTAGTGGGAGTGTAGACCAGTACAATTGCTCAAAATCAGTGTGGAGATCCCTCAAAAGACTAGGATTGGAGGTCCCATTTGACCAGCTATTTCCCTTCTGGGTATCTTCCCAGAAGAATTAAAAATATTGTACCACAGCAATCTATGTGCACCCATGTTCATAGCAGCAAAATTTTTAATAGTTAGATCTTGGAAACAATCTAAATGCCCACTGACTAAGGAATGGATAAGAAAGATGTGGTACTTTTATACAATGGAGTACTACTTATCCATAAAGAGGGATAAACTTGAGACTTACAGGTAAATGGATGCAACTTGAGACCATGCTCATAAGTGAAATAAACAGACATGCAAGTGTAAACATCGTATTGTATCACTAATGTGAGAAGCTGAAACAACGTATGTGTATGTGCATATATATGTATTATATATATAAATATACTTAAGATGTACTATTAATTTCTCTGAGTTCATTGAAGAGAAAGATTTATGTTTGTACTGTTCAGACAATTGAATGCAGATGTGCTCTGGGTGATTGATTTGGGGATGGTAATTTGCCATGTATGTTGTCCCCTGATTATTATGTTTTGAAATTTTATTTTTTCCCTCTTGAAATAAAATGGATTTGAAAAATAAATATAAGAAGTCAAAAATCCATTTAAAATGTGACTAATGTGCTTCTAATCTGTCATTTTGGTGTTTTCACTTTTTAGTAGAGTCCATGCGTACCTGAATCCCAGCACTAAAGATGAATACTTTGCATTAGTTTATACCTGACAACCTACTATGTGAGTTGATGGTACCCATGTAATTATCAAAAGGACAGTAGGGTGGAACTTGCCTCCTTGTGGACTGAGTGTATGGAGTCAGGACCAAGCACAACTCATTCACCAGTGGAGAGCTCAATGCATCATGTCTCTCTGAGCTTGAAAATGAAAACATTTGTTTGCTTTTTATCCGTTAGAGCAGAACCTCCACGAAAGAAGAAGAAGGTAGATCCTAAAAAGGATCAAGCAGCAAGGGACCGCTTGAAAAAGAGGATACGAAAACTGGAAAAGGCCAGCCAAGAGCTAATTCCCATTGAAGATTTTATTACCCCTCTGAAATTCTTGGATAAATCAAGGTAAAAATTCTTCCCTAGGCTTGAAGTCCATCGGGAAAAGTTCCATCAGTTTCAGGTAGTTCTAAGTGAAGTTCATGTCTGTGATGGACATAGGTTACCAGACTGGAGTTGACTTGGTTCTAGACTGCATCCTTTTCTACTTGATAAGCATATGACCTTAGTTGCCAATGTGAGTTGCAGCCGCTGCCACATTCAACATTCCATTCCTTAATTTCTTCCAAACTTCCACTTTTCTTTCCTAAATTCTGCAGTGGCAGGAAATGGGGATGATTGGGTCATGTGCAGTCACACAGGTTCCTTTACCAATGAGGTTAGTATTCTCTAACCTCACATCTTTGGACTTTGTATTCACAGACAACGACCTCAGGTGGAGCTCCCCTTTGAGGAGAGTGAGCGGAGAGCTCTGCTTCTGAAGAAGTGGTCTGTATACAAGCAGCAAGAGCATGACATGGAGAGGGATGCCATCAGAGCCATGCTGGAGGCCCAGCAGAAAGCTCTACAGGAGCTGAAACTCGAGTCCCCAGAGCTCTATGCTGAGGCCATCAAGCGGGACCCCAGATTGTTCCCCTTTGAGAAGGAAGGGCCAAATTACACACCACCCATCTCTGACTACCAGCCCCCTGAAGGCAGGTATAATGACATCACCAAGGTGTACACACAGGTAGAATTCAAGTGATAGAAGTTAAGTCAGCTATCCTCAGAACATAATGCCCTCTGGAGAATGGCCAGAGCAAGTCTACTTTACAAAACATCAGACAAACTGGTAATAAATAAAAGCTTAATCAAAAGTGTGTCTTGTGTTACAATAAAAAATAAGCTATGTATGGATAGATAGATATGAGAGATGGTGTCCTTCTGCTAAATACTAGAAAGATAATGACAGACATCAACCCTCCAGGGAGAACAAATACAAAGAAAATTTCCACTTGCAGGAGGTACAAAATAACCCAAAGGAGTGAAAGTGAAGTTATGGGCAGGATTTTTGTGAGCTAGGAAAGTGTGCTAAGAGTAACAGGTCTTCCCAATAGGCCAGAGGGAGAAGCCATCTTCAGGATTTAACCTAGGCATGGAGGCTTCAGATTGCAGAGCAAGCGGGAGACATTCAAGAAGCTGAGGCCTGGCTGAGCAGAGGGCTCACAGTGTGTTTTACTTACATTAGTCTGGAGTAGTCAATGTATTAGTCTGCTCAGGCTGCCATAACAAAACGTCACAGATGGGGTGATGGTGGTGGGTTTGAACCCGTGGCCTGATGCATGTTAGGTAGAGTATGGGGTATAACTCTACCCATGAGATACCACCAACCCCTAATAATCTAACATTAAATGTTTCCTTTTCTTATTTGCAGTAACAGTTTAAAAATAAAAATCTGTCTCAGGCTGTAATACTATAAGCCAGTAAGAAACAGGTAGTGTTCTTAACACTGAAACTTCACTGTCATGGGTAGGTAGCATTGTCCCAACCAAATTTCCTATGTTGAAGTGCTCAATCCCCAGTACCTCGGAACATGAATGTATTAATTGAGTCTGTAAAGTGGATATTAAAATATGGTCATTAGGGTGGAACCTATGCCAATATGAGTGCCTCAGTAAGAGATTGTTAGATTGAGAACAGCTATATAACCACATAGGGAGAAGGCAGCTATCCCCAGACCAGGAAGAGGCCTTAGAAGTTCTAGCAAATAAGCCATGCATAACTAAGTTTCTGGTGTTTAAGCCACCCAATTTGTGATATTTTGTTATGACAGCCTGAGAAGACTTCCTTTCCTTTCAGTGCTGAGGACTGAACACTAGGCTGCATCTCTAGTATCACTTGTGTTTATTGCTGCTTAATGTTTACTGTTCCCCTAAATTCCAACAGAAACTTTGAAAGCAAACTGTCAGTTTAAGACTGATATTGGCTAGCAATGTAACTCAAGTGATGGAGCCTACCTGTGGGTGAGGTCCTAGGAGTGAACACAGGAGGGATACAAGAGTATTCCATCCAGAGAGATTTATTGATGTGGAACTTGTTCTGTAGCAAAGGCAGGCAAAATGTAACAATGGAAAGACCTAAATTCTCAAGATAGAAAAGAACAAGAAGCACTTCTTGGCTGTGTGCAACTTTCATACAGCTCTGCCAGCAGGTGACAGAGGGCATGACTGCAGGGGAAGGAGCCTCTCTCTCTCCTTGACTGGTTTGGGACTGGCTCCCTCAGGCTTTACTTGCATGTCCCTCCCCCACCCCAGGAACTCCTCATGTAGCTACTGGAGTTCCAAGCATCATGTCCAGACTGCAAAATTCAGATATTTCTTACGCTTTACAAGTAAGAAAAATTTTTATGGCTCTTTAGCAGACTTCTGTATTCTCATTGGCTGGAAATTATTGTTAACCAGCCACAGTAGCCTGAAGTTTCACTGTTTAGCTTAGACATATCAAGGATGACACCTTCGGGTGAGAAACCTTGACTCTTCTTTATATTCTTCCCTCCTCTTGGGATCCCATGAACATATAAGCCCCCAGTATGCATAGACGTGCAGGAAAGGAAATCTTATTTTGAAGTGACCTTTTTTTTGTGGGACAGGGTCATGTTCAGGATAGCTTTGAATTCACTATATAGCTCAAGCTGATCTTTAACTCATAGCAATCCTCCTGCCTCAGCCTCTAGAGTGCTAGGATTATATCTGTGAGTCATCAGTTATTTTGCCCCAAAGAACAAACTGCAAGATACTCAAATTCATTGCTTGTGGATAGGAAGGGGGCAGGGCAGGTAGTGAGCATGTAAGATTGGCCTTCAGCATCACACTTGATATCTGCTATACAGTGACATGTTAACCATATTGTAACTGTTAATAGAGACCTCTACAAGATCTAGTGTGCTTGGATTGAGGCTCTTAACTCAGCAGCACAGCACCTGCCTGGCAAGCGCAAGTCCTGAGTTCAATTCAAACAAACAAATTAGTATTCTTGGTTCATATACTTTTTTTTTTTTTTTGTCTTTTTCCTTTTTATCAGTACCAGGGATTGAACTCACGACTGCCTGCTTGCAAGGCAGGCGCTTATGCTGCTGAGCTAAATTCTCAGCCCCCATATACATATATTTTAAAAACCCCTAAAGGGAATACATACAAAAATTTAATACTATCTGAACATGACATTGTTAGGTATAAAGTCTAATAAATGTGGATTTTTTTCAACTTTTATTTGGAATCAAACATATGAAATAGTTTTTAATACATTATTGGGAAATTTTGAGGGAAGGAGACCTAAATCCCATGTGCTTCAGGCTTGGTTTTCTTTTGCTTTTTTATTTTTTTTGCTGAAGATGGGGCTTACACATACTAAGCAAGTTCTCCACCACTGAGTCACACCCCTAGCCCTTTGGCCTTGGATTTTTAAAGTTTTTATTAGTACATATTTGCAGTACATAGTGAACAGATGCATCCTGTAATGTCATGAACATGTACATAACTCAGCTTAATTCTTCTTTTCCTTCCCCTCCTTTTTCTCCTTCCTCCCTCCATCTTTGTGGGCTTAGAATTAAGCCAAGATTCCAGGAAAGCTTGTAAAACTGTTTGCTTTTTGTTTGTTTTCTGTAGTATTGGGGATAAACTCAGGACCTTTGCACTGAGCTACATCCCCAGGCCTTTTAAAATTTACTTTATTTTATCTTGGTACTTTATTTTATCTTTGGGGATCAAACTCATGATCTTGTGCTTGCCAGGCAGGAACTTATGCCACTGAGCTAAATCCCTGGCAATTTTTTATTTTTATTTTTGAGACAGGGTCTCAATAAATTGCTAATTTGCCCAGACTGGGACTGAATTTGTAATCCTCCTGCCTCAGCCTCCCACAGTATGTGATTATAGGCATATGCCACCATGCCCAGCTAAGTTGTGTGTATCTCAAAAATCAGAATCTTTTTTTTATCGGTACTGGGATCGAACTCACGACTGTAAGCTTGCAAGGCAGGCACTTATGCTGCCAAATGGCTGAGATTCCAGAATTTGGGAGGCTGAAACAGATGTTCAAAGCCAATATATCTATACTCTATTAATGAATTCAAGGGTGGCCCAGACCACCCAGCTAGACAGTCTCAAAAAACCAAAGAAACAGAAACAAAAAAACCCAGTCTCGGGGAACTTTTTGGTGAAATGTAGTGTAGAGGGGCAGTGAGGCCTATCTGTTGGCATGCTCCACCTTCCTCTGCAGTGGAACTGATCAGAGAGTAAATGTCCTGTTTGGATGCTGGGGCTGGCAATACACGGTAGTCGCCAAGCCTGGGATGTGGTAGCCTTTCTCCCAAGGACAGGAAGAGGTATTCACAGCAGCAGAGATCTTTTGCCATATCATTCAGTCATGTTTTCATGTAGGTCAGAGCTAGTAACTCAAGAATTTATCTGAGAATGCTACTCCTCAGGACTGCCACTTGTTGGAGGTCCTCTTGTTGGGGGTGAGAGGTCTGAGCTTGCTTCACCTGGCTTCTCTCAGGTACCTGGTTTCCTAAAAGCTATGGAGTGGGCTCAGTTGTCACTCAGAGACTTGTCGTGGCGCCCTGTTGCAGGTAAGGGGTGGGCAGGTAGAGCTGGAGATGTACAGCTGGCTCTGTGTTTCAGGCCAGGTAGGAGCACACAGGGAACCACGAGACTGGGATGCTCATAGCCCCATTGAAGCAGACTCGAAGAAGCCACACAGGCAAAGGGCAGGGGTGCTTGTCACTTGTCCTTCTCTTGTGATAGAGGGAGGTGCCAGTCTGCAGGGGGTCTCTGCCTCAAGGCCCATACCAAGGTGTGCTTCTGTGCAGCTTGCACACGTGCCCGCTCGCTCTCACACAGGGATTGCTGTGCAAATGAAACTTTTGTTATTTTCTGCCTCACTGCTTGATCCCAGGATCCCAAAACTGCCTGTACTACCCTCTTTCTTAGCATTTTCCAGAACACAGATGGCTCAACAGGAGTGTATGGTACACACTTCTCCATAGCTCAGCTGCTTCTATTTAATATACTTTGAGGGTTGTTTTGTATTACCACACAAAACTTTTTTCTCACAAAGTAGTGTGAAAAACTACTGTGTAGATCAGGATAATTTCAGGAATTTTCAAACATCTTCTCCTTAGGACCTGATGGCTTTCACTGGCTTGGTGAGTCTAAAACAGGCTCATCTGCCAAGTGTAAGGCTAAGGATGCTGAGTAATGGTGACATCAGAAAGAATGAGCAGCTATGGGGAGAAACAAGCTAGATTACTCAGAGCTGTGGGCAAGGTGCTCCTCAATCTACCAGCTTCTCCCAGCCACTGACCCCATGATAGACACAACACATTGTATAATAAGGTGATCTTAGCTATGGGCCCTTCATAGGTGTGAATGGCTATGTGGGACTTTTTACACATATACTTGTTTTGGGAATTTTTTCTTTTTTTTGAGACAATATGTCACTGTATAGTTCACAGTGTAGTTCAGACTAATCTTGAACTCACTATGTAACCTAGGCTGGCCTTGAATTCACAATGATCCACCTGCCTCAGTTCCTGAGTGCTGGGATTATATACATGTACCATCATGCTGGGCACTTAATTTACTTGTGCGCCCCCCCCCCCTTCCCAGCACTGGGGATAGAAACCAGGGCCTTCACTGTGAGCTACATCCTCAATGTTTTTTGTCTTATTTTTAGACACAGTCTTGCAAAGTTGCCCAGGTTGGCTGCGAACTTCTGAACCTCCTTTAGCCTCTCAGACTGCTAGGATTAAGGGATGCACTGCCATGCCTACCAACTGTCTATTTACCTTTCTGGGGAGAAAGGGGCAGTACTGGAATTTAAACTTAGGACCTTGAGCATACTAGGCAAATACCCTATTACTGAGCTATACCCTATTTCTGTTCACTTATCTTTTGCTTAAACACTTGGGTTTTTTTTTTTTTTTTTTGAGACAGGGTTGATACTTAGTTCAGGCTGACCTTGTGAACTTGTGTGATTCACATGCTTCAGCCTCCTGATTACTAGGGTTAGGAGCATGTGCCACCATGCTTCGCTCAAATAAAAATTGAGGGGAGAAGAGGGCCAAAAATAGAATAAGGTTGTGCTGTATACATGTCCTAACTCCCCATAATGAATGCAATAATGTACTGTAAACATCTACTAATAAAAATAAAAGATAGGGGGTGGGATTTAGCTCAGCGGCATAAGCGCCTGCCTCGAAAGCAGGCAGTCGTGAGTTCGATCCCTGGTACCGGTAAAAACGAAAAAGCCAAAAAAAAAAAAAAAAAGATAAACTTCTTTTTGTGGCATTAGGGATTAGAAACTAGGCCCCTCTGAATATTATGTAAGCATTCGATCAGTGAATTACATTCCCAGCCCCTTAAATATTTATTTATTTACTTGTCTTTTTGAGACAGGGTTTCCCTATGCAGTTCAGGCTGGCCTTGAGCTCATTTTGTAGCCCAGGCTCATCTTGAACTCTCAGTAATCCTCCTGCCTCAGCCTCCTGAGTACTGGGACTACAGGCGTGTGCCATCATGCCTGGCTAAATGTTTTTATTTAAAAAGGAATAAGTCTTTAATCCCAGCACTTGGGAGGCAAAGGAAGGAGGACTTTGACAAGTTCCAGGCCAGTCTTGGGTACCCAGTGAATCAACCTGAACTAGTGAGACCTTGTCTCATAAAAAGAAAAATAAATGCAAACCAATTGAGCCAGATGTTATGGTGTACATCTATAATCTCAGCAGCTAGGAGGCTTAGTGAAATTTAGGTATCTTTCATTTTTTGTACTGTCATAAATGGTGACACAATGAACATTTTCAAGTTTTATCTGTGCACTGTTATTCAATCACTTAGGTAAGATAAACTCCCAGAAGTAAAAACTTTGGGGTCAAAAAGTCTATATTGTATATAGAGCTAATCAGAACACTGAACAATCCCACCAACACTGCATAAGTGCCTTGCATTCTACAAACCCCTATCAACACTTCCAAGTTTCTACTTGGCCAAAGCCACTGTCATTTTAACCTGGAAATCTAGCCATTTGGGTTTTTTTTTCTTTTTGGTACTGGGGGCCAAACTTACAACTGCACACTTGCAAGGCAGGCACTTATGCTGATGAGCTCAATCCCCAGCCCCATTGGTTTTCTTTTTTAATGAATTGCTTCTTTGTACCTTTTGCTGATTTTTCCTTTTTCTTTCTTTTTTTTGGCTCATTTTTCTATTTGAAATCATCTCCAGATTTTATATTGATATATGAGCCAATGCAGATATTAGCATAAACACAGATATTAAGGCTTATTTTTTTTTTTTATCGGTACTAGGGATCGAACTCATGACCGCGCTTACAAGGCAGGCACTTATGCTGCTGAGCTAAATCCCCAGGTCCAAGGTTACCAATCTCTTGTCATATACCTGCAAGCTTTCTCCCATAGTTGTGTATGTGTATGTATGTATATTTGTGGTACTGGGGACTGAACTACAACCTCAGCCCTTTATTTTGAGACAGTGTCTTGCTAAGTCACTTATTGTCTAGGCTGCAATCCCTCAGCAAAGAGCTGAGATCACATGTGTGTACTGCCTTATTCAGTTTTTTTTTTTTTTTTGGTGGTGGTGGTGGGGACTGACTTGGGGTCTGGCTCATGCTAAGTATATGCTGTGTCACTGACTGAGTCATATCTCTAGTCCTGTCTTATATTTTTGCCTTTTACTGATTATCGATTTAGCATCATTTTCTTTTATATGGCAGCTTTTTTTCACATTGGTTTGTGTTTCAGAGTACCCACATACATAGCCAGGCACAGTGACACATGCCTGTAATTCCAGCAATTTGGAGGCTGAAGCTGGAGGATTACTCTGAGTTTGAGGCCAGCCTGGCTTACATACTGTAGTCAGTTCAAAGCTAGCCTGAATTTCGTAGTAAGACCCTGTCTTAAACAAAACAAAATTCACACACTTTTAGCAATGCTGATGCCCCAGGACGGTCCTGTTGGCCCCCCTTTCTTGTTTCCTAGCACTTCCCAGGGGCACTGTTCCCTGACATTTTCTCTCTCTTCATTTCTTCATCTCTTTATCCACAGCAGCTCCAAGGTACTATATTATTCTACAGTAGTGCTCTATACTACAGTTCCAAGAGAGCAGGGGCTCCATTCTCATCACTCTTGTATCTCCAAGATCAGGATAGATATTGCTGAATTAAGGGACCACCCTCTTATTTGTCCCTCTGCCCCTCTACACTCTGGTAACCAAATTGATCTTTGAAAGATATAAATCAAATTACGCTTCCCAAAACACTTTTTAGGCTAAACGTTAGACTCTTTACTATTCATCAAGACTCTTCAGATCCCTGGTACTTGTCCATCTTCATTCCCTACCCTCTACAGCGCACACTCCCTCTGCTGCAGGAACTTAGATCTTCTGCCTTTTCATCGTTGTGTTATGAGGGCTGCATGATGGCTGTCTCCTAGTCATACAGGACCAGCAATATTATACTGTCTAAAGACAATCTGAAATGAACATACCAACATTGGAAGGTCGGTCCTCCGTCTCTCTACAAAACACCCTACCTCTCTTTTCCTGCTTGTCTTTAATGCCATCTCACAGTCCCATGGACATACTAATTTACAGTATTTTTCAAAAGAGCGGACACAAAGAAGGAAGGACCCCAATGCACCTGAGTGCATTTCCTTAACCTCCCTCGCGGCGCACCTGGGCCTCGGCGCTCCGACGCTCTTCCCATTCGCGGCAGCTGGCCAGATCGCGCAGCCACTGCTTGCAAGCCGGCCGCTCGCCGTGGACGTAGTAGTGGTGCAGAAAGTGCCCGGCGCTGCGGCAGAGCTTCCACTCGGCGCGGTAGGTCTCGCAGGGCCGCGGCGGCTGGGGCGAACGGCGATGTCTGAGCGGACCTGGCGCCGCGCTCCACGTCCCCGTTCCACCCCACCTCTACCCCCGGGGAGGAACCGGTTAATCTTGGTCCGCCCGGATGCCCCTGGGGCCTCAGTGCCAACCACACTTACCCGCCAGTCGCCACTGTCTGCCATGTCAAGAATACCGCCAAACCCCGCCTCGCTACCACAACAGCCAATGAAAACTGAAGAAAGCTAGCTCTGTGTGACCGACATTCAAAACCCCAATGAGTTTCGAGATATTCCAACTAACTTCTCATTCGCTTCCTCAAAAAGTTCCAATGAACGGGACATAGATCTAAACAAAGCACCCAATAACAGCCAAAGGAGGCGCCACGTGACGAGGGGCGGGGCAAAACGACTGGCCAATTCCCAAGGTTCAAAGGCCTGGAACTGAGCTAGCGCAGCACTGCGATGATGGCATCCATCTGCCCTAGTACCTGACTGGGGTCCTGGGCTGTGCCTTTGCGTGGTTAGCTGTCTCTGAAACCCTATGGTTCAGAAGGCCACTTCTTTCCAACTGCTTTTGTTATTTTTTAAAGATCACCTGGTTCACTGTTTTAAACACGCACTGAAGATCAACTCAAGGTAGTGAAATCTGGTATATATATAGCTACCGTGTATACTTGCCCGAGTTCTCGTCAGGGCAGAGGTGAACTCACAAAGTAACCGGATTTGATTGGGCGGGATGTGTGTGCTGGGGACCAATGAGTGGGGCTAGGGTGCTGTGACAGCTCCCCAAGAGACCTAGGCTCTAAGTGGAAGCTGAGAGTGTTCCTAGCAGAGAGAACAGAGGTAAAGGTAGCTAGTGGGCCTTGCAAAAAGGCCTTTACAGTACATACGCATTGGTTTTCCAAATAGAATCAAATCATCACGGAGTGGGGGTGGTGGTGATGATGCTTAAAATGCAATTGCTGGACCTATTCTAGGAATGACAGGAGTTAGGCTCCCTGAAGGTGAGAAAGAAAACTACAATTTTACTAGAGGTCTTAGTGTTGAGGTAGCTGGTTCACCCAAGTTTGGAGAAAACACTAAGTGGATTCTGGAACAATTGCTGCAGTCTGCAGCACTAACAACCAAGGTGAATGCTATAGGTGATTACACTGTCATTAGAATGCCCAACAGGATCCACCCGTTCCAACCAGGAGAGTATGCCTCTAGCAAAGGACTTAAGTTTTAATGCATACACAGGTGTTCCTTAGGAAAGACAAAAATCAGGAGCCAAAGCCTACAGTAACTTCATTACATAAAAAATAAAAATTTTTGTATCCTGCAAATAGAGGCTTCCTACTTGCTAATAAGGATTTTTCCTCTGCTAGTGAAACTGAAACTAATGGAGGAACTGGAATGAAAGATTTTGCTTCATTCAAAATCACATACATTGCCAGAGATGACAATTTGTGCCATAAAGCAGAGCCCTGAACATCATGAAACCCATCAGTGGTCCTCATGGAAGGAATTGTGGGCAGATCCTGGGGCTGCCAACCTGGAAAGGGAGCCCTGTCTAGACTGATATCCTTCTGCCAAACAAGAGGACAAATTCTGCTCCACGGGGAGATCTGAGCCTGATTATCCTTACTGCAGGGCTCAGGGAGTTCTTTTGTCCCTGTATTTTCCAGGGGAGTTTTGTAACTTAGTGATGAAATATGGAGAATCTGCAAAGTACACTTCTCTAATTTCTGGTCAGTGGCCCAACCACCAATATGTTTGTACCTAGTCAAAAATTTAGAGGTGATGTTTTAATCATTGCCTGTTTTTACTTGAAATTCTTGGCTCAGAATTATTTTCAAGAAAAAAATTTAAAATAACTGAATAGGTTAGCTCTCTCATTACAGAAAGTAAAGATCTAAGACTAAATTGAAACTCATCAATATATTGGGTCTGGGAGGTACAAATTAGTGGTAGAAGGCATACTGAGTATTCACAAGGCCCTGGGTAAAATCCCAATAAATAAATAAATAAATAAATAAATAAATAAGACAAGCCAGCAGAGCCTTGGAACATTCATTCATTCATTTATTTATTTATTTAAGCACTGGGGATTGAACTCACAATCTAGCACTTGCCAGACAGGTACTTGTGCTGCAGAGCTAAATCCCTGGCCATTTTTTTTTTTTTTTTTTTTTTTTTTTGGGTATTGGAGATCACACTCATAGCCTTGTGCACTTATGCCACTGAGCCTACTTTGGAAAATTTAATAAAATTCAAAATTGCAAAGTGGGGGGTAAGGAAGCAGAGACATACCTTTAGCATTTATTCATTCTAACATTTACATTTGGCTTTATCACGGAGTTGTTTTATTCTAGAATAAGTTCACTAAGGAGCTAGTTATTTCCATATGAAATCAAAACAAAAGTGTAATCTAATTGGATAGGGCTTCCTTTCAAGGAAAAGTTTTTTTGAAAACAATCAGTATCTTTTTTTGTTGTTGTTACTGCGGATCGAACTCATAACCTCACACTTAGCAGGTGAGTGCTTGAGCCGCTGAGCTAAATCCCTCACCTAACAATCAGTATCTAAAGTAAAAATAGAAATATCCTTTCTCAAACACTTAAACAGCTGCCAGAATACTGGAATAGGCACTATTTATAAAGCATATAACTACTTAAACTCCTTTTTTTCTAGACCAAAGACAATGCCTCTGCAAATGACCTGGGAAAAGGTCAAATGAAGAAAGAGAGAGAACATCACCCTTAATGACACTAATTAAGTCACTTCCACTGGTTTGTTAGAAATTAAGGGACTCTTCCTGGGGCAGGAGGAAAGCCCTTGAGCCGAAAGAATAAAGTAGAAGGAGGCCATCTACAGGACATTAGAGAAAGCTTTCTTTTTCCCCAAATCAAGCACACAATTAGGTTCTGCTATTCCATATCCAGGTCAAACTGGGTAATTCTTAGGTAACACTAAGTAAACCCTTTAGTATCAGCATTCTCTTGATGATGGCCTCATCCATGTCCGAGCCAGTAACTAAAAGCCAGTATGTTGCAATTGATTCCTTTATTTTCCAATCAGCCAACAGTCTGGACTTAAGGCTTTCTTCCCTTTTTCCGCAATGACTGTCCTTCTCCAGAGAAAGCAACGAATCTGCCTCCAGCTTCATCCTAGGTGTGAAGATAAGAAACTATTTTCAGAAACTCTTTGGAAGTTTATAGTAAATATTTTACTTTGTGGACTTGTGAATCATTCACCCATTGTCTTCCCAATATATAGTACGAAAGGCCTCTGCAATATAAGTACAAATCATTATTTATTGTGCTGAGACACAAATTTCCGTTGCCTTTGTTTTCAGATTGAATATACAAATTCTCCTTGACTTATGGAGAGGGTAGGTCCTGATAGATTCATTCCAAACTGGAAATATTGTGAAGTTGGAAAGCATTTAACAGGCGTGTGGCACATGCCTATAACCCCAGCACTTGGAAAGCTGAGGCCAGAAGCCTGCCTCAAGTTTGAGGCCAGCCTGGACTACATAGGGAAATCTTGTCTCAAAAAAGCAAAAAACAACAATACAAGTAAAATGCACTTAATATACCCAACCTATCAAACATGGTAGCTTAGCAGCATAGCATAGCATCCAACATCCCATTTTGACAGTGGCTGATTGAGGGAGCTGTGACTCAATACTGCTGTCTAACAATGTAGAGAAGACTGTATTACGTATCAAGAAAAATCACCCAAAAATAAACCTGCATTCACATTTCTGAATGTGCTTCTATCAACAGTCTTCCCATTTAATTTTGAAGGCTTAAGCCAATGAATTTCTTATCTGGAATGCTCTAGAGTCTGCAGAGTATTCTGTCACACAACAGAGCCAGTCTTCTGACGTTTGATGTCCCTGTAACTTCTAAGTTTGAAGTAATATAAATTGCTGTGGCAAGCAGCTTAATGTTTGTACACAGCTGCTTTTTCCTAGAAGAATTTCTAGGTGAAAGAGTACACATTAATTCCTTTAAAGCTTTTACTGATTGGTGGGTTGTGGTGTTAAGGATGAATCCAAGACCTCTGCACTGAGCTACACCCTCCTAGCACTTTTTACTTTTAAAATTTTTATTTAATTAATTAATTTGAGACAAGGTCTTTTTATGTAGTCCAGGACAGCTGTGAAATCAGTATATAGCTCAGGCTGGCCTCAAACTCACAGCCTATCTTCTTGCTTCGGTTTCCTGAATATTGGGATTACAGGGATGGACCACTGTGCCTGGCTTATTACTATTAGGAAGTGGGATCTGGATGGAGAATATATTTCTGCTCGAGGTTCCTCTCTTCTGTTTCCTAGCTGTCATGATATACGTAGTTTTTCACCCCCGTGTCCCTCTGCTATGTCATTTATGTCTTGGAGCTTGTGGATTATGAACCAAACTGTGAACCTTTCTTCTTTTTTTTTTTTTTTTTTTTGGTCTTTTTGAGACAGAGTCTCACAATGTAGTTTAGGCTGGCCTTGGGCTCACTTTGTAGCCCAGAATGGTCTCGAACTCACAATGATTCTCCTGCCTAAGCCTCCCAAGTGCTGGGATTACAGGCATGTGCTACTACACTTGGCTGAACCTTTCTTCTTTTAAGGTATGTATTGGGTATTTTGACCTAGGGATAAGAACGTAAGATACTGGGGCCTCAAGTCTGAGTCTACTAAAAGCCAGCCTGCAACTGGTGAAGTCCTAGACAGAGGTGCCAGAGGATGAAGCCTGATTAAGGGACTATATCTGTTCCTCTAGGCATGGAAGGTTCGCAACACTTCTGTCAGTTTGAGGAATGTTGATGCCTGAAGTAGCTGTAAGTGGTACTTAGGTATGCAGACATAGATAGCATTGCAGTCTCTGTTCCTAACTACCTCAAATGCTAGAGGGGAAGAGTTTAGTTGTCACGGGGACAAGTTGCCAAACACTGGTTCTATCTGGTAGGCCATTTGAAACAGGTTACAGCCTATCTGCCCTCTGCCTATTCCAGATGAGCTGCTAAACTACCCATGGATTCCCAAGCATCCAATCCTATAAGAAAAGGTGTTCTAGAAACATTCACCATGTTTACATGACTGTGTCTCAGCCTTATGACAAAAGCTATCACCCTGGAATGAGTTCCCACACGGCGGACACTTCTCTAGCCAAATGCTATTCCATGCTCCTGTGATAGGGTAATGTTCAGCCAAAAGAGGCCTGTTGTTTGGATATCTAATTGAAGGTCATTTCCGGAGTTTTGTGGCACTTAAGTGGGTCAGGAGCACTGCTCCCTGGGGCCAGAGAATCCTCACCTCTGGATCTTTACATTGAATGGCACAAATGAAGACAAACCAAAGCACTCTCCTCAAAGGGCTGTTTTGGTGGTTAGAGGTGTTACACATATAACACTTAGCATAGTGCCTAACTAGCAAGACGACCTCTGACAACCAGTATTGTGTTGGTCACCATTGCTAGGTGATGCCAAAGTGTGGCAATGATGGTAGACAGGCACTTAAATCCTACTGCTTCCCACTGCCCTTGTGGTTCAGGCAAGCTGTTGTCAGAAGCAAGTGTGCCTATCCTCAGGGCACGCATCCAACAATCTTTGCACAACACTCTGATTACTGCTTGGGGTGAAACACCTGCTGGGACTGGCCATATGGCCTCAAAGTGTTCATGCCTGCAGGATGCTCAGCCCTAACCTTCTATTCCATGACCATCCTGCTTGGCTACAAGAGTGTTGTCCAGATTGCTAGAAAAAAGTGAAAAGAGAAAATAAAGCCCACATAGGGCAACCAGCTCTTTGATGACAGAGCCTGAAGTGGCTCCTGACCACAAGATGCCTGGCTTTACCCTGTAGAGGCCCCCACAGGCTCTATACAAGCAGCAAGGCCTTTAAGAGAGGAGGGCTCCAGGAAGGTGAAAATATGACAGAAACCTCCTATTCAGAATAGTAACTACCTAAGTCACTAAAACTTACCTCTTCAACTTTTTTGACGAGTGGACGTGAATTTCTGATGAAAGTTATCTTACCAAGTTTAAATTCGTAATTAGGAATTCCTCTGTGAAAAAGACACAGCAATGTTAGTTTTTCAGGAAGAAAGAGCTAAACTTCACTTCTGATAACCCGGCAAAAGAAAACATAAAAGACAAGTTTTCATGGTGACCCATTCTCGGAAATATTGCTGCATCCCAACATAGATCTTTGTCCAGCCCTTGGCAGTGCTTCCTAGCATTCTTCTAGCAGAGAACCAGCACAAAAATGGTCCTAGTTTAGCATAAATATTGGGTGTAATAGTTGGGCTTGACTCTAATCTGACCTGTATTAAGGAGTCATCTCACTGCAATGGTTTTATTCACATAACTCTTAGAGGCCAGATAAAACAACCTATTTCTAGCATTCTCCTTCTGCTCACACATAGTAGAGAGCTAACTCATCTTATCTGACCCGACTATGATAGCCACGAAAGGAAGGGTCTGTTGAGTAACTAGACTCAATGAAGTCATATCCTCCATACCTGGAAACCAGATGGAAATTTGAGCCTACTAGCCTAGGCTTTGTCTCTTCAAGGGGCTAGCTCAGACTCTCCTTAGACAATAACAAAACATCTGGCAGAGGCAGAGCCAGGACAGACCTACCTTTTAATGTCGCCAGGCTTGATGGGCGATGGACTGGGCTCAACCCCTTTCTTCTTTCCATCCAGTCTATTCCCAGAACCTGAGAAGGCCTAAACAGGGATGTAGGAGTATACAGTGAGCCCTGAGATGGAGCACAGATATGTCCTTTTCTTAGAGACTGCTGTAGGGATATGAGTTGAGAGTGCTGCCAAGACACCATCAGAACTAAAGCCCTTACTCCTCTACTGCTAGAGTCTTGGCAAATGATTTCTCTCCACCTAGCTGGCAGGAGACTGCTAGAACTGATAAAAGCCATCTTATCAGGGCAGCCAGGGGCCAGTGTTGAAGTGAATTTGTCTAGCCCTCGCCTTTGCAAGGGCTACCCAGCTCAATCCCTGGTAGGTGGACTAAGGCCTCTGCCCCTAGGTTCAGCTTCCTGCATAACCAGTCATAATCTCTCCATTGTTTCCTAGTACCCTGATATCCATACATGAACCATCTCTACCTGCTTCCCGGGTAGCCTAACTGGGTCCTAATGATCATATATGCAGCTTACTTTCAGTCTGGGCAAAGAAAAATAGAACATGCGTTTAGAGAGAAATAAAAGCAAGAGTAAATACTAGTGAACCTACAACAGTGGTGGTGAACCTATGGCATACGTGCTATACTGGGCATGCAAAACCAGGTTACTCCAGCAGCTGAGCTTTGGATAAGAGTGCACATAGGAGCGCAAGCTCAGAAAGTAGCACTAGGGTGATGACATGATGAGATGAGACTCGTTAGCTGTTAGTTATTCAAGTTTTCACGTGGCTGGTCAGTGTGTTGCCAAGGATAGATATATTTACTTGGACTGGCTATGAATTCTAATACATTTGTTTTTATTAACACAAGATTTTAGCTTTAAGTTTTATGAAAATTGAAATTTAATATCTAAAATTTAGTGGAGATGCTTTGAGATTCTTTTAATGTTGTACTATCCCCCACCATATCTGAATTTGCAGCAACATATCTAGTTGTTTGTGAAAAATTTATGCAAACAAAAGTGAAGATATATATTTGTTTGAACTGACTGATTTTAGCAGAAGCCCCCACAAGGTAGGAAATGTACTCAGATGCCTTCTGCAGAGCAGGCCAAATGCCACTGGTCAGTGAAACACTGCTCCTATGCTGGGGTTAGGAAATTCAAGAGAAACCCCACCTGAGAATCACTGCCATAGATTTTTGATTCAGGGAATATCTAATTCTTTCTTTAGTTAGTATCATTAGCTATTTTTGGTATAGGGATGGATTTGTTTCGGTACTTTACTTTTTAAAAATTTTGTGTTTTTGCAGACTCCAAATCTTGAATACCAAAAAATGACTACAGCTAAAAAAGCAGAACTGAAAACAAGTAGCGGAAGACCATTCCAAAAGGCCTGTATGGCAGAAAGGATGTTTTATGATATCAAAACATTTGAGAGAAAACTGCAGGTTTTGGAAAAAGACCTTGAAAGGGGCAGCTGAAATATTTTCCAAATCAAAAAATGCATTTTGGAAATTATACAGTATCTTCAGAATTTCCTACAAGCCATCAATAAGTCTACAAGAAATTTTCTACCATTATAGCATCTGCCAAGGAAAACTTTTTTACAATTTTTACAATTCCATAAGATGGAGACAAGTTTACTTTTTTTTTTTACTTCTCTAGATTAAGTCAGATTTGAAGAGCTTGATCTTTCCTGCTTTCACTGGTTAAACTCTAGAAATATAGAAATGGAGCTGTTGGAATTTCAAGAAAGCTCTAGCTGAAAAATAAATTCTATGACTTGCATGCCACCCTTGAGAAGATAGACTATGAAAAGATGACAAAGAAGAACACAGTAATTCTGAAAGTGAAATCCTTAAAGTGTGGAATTCTCTGCCAAATAATTTTAAGTCAATGAAAGCATTTAGAACTGCTTATCTTACTTTATTTGGTTCATCTTATACTTTTGAGCAACTGTTTTCAGTTTTGAATTATATCTAATCTGATACAAGAAACAGACTAATAGATGATCCAAGTACTGCATGTGCTGCTGTCACACTAATGAAGTGTAAGCCAGGGTTTGAGAAATTATCAGCATGCATACGACAACAAAGATCACATTAATTGTGCAAAAGCTGGCCAAATGCAAATTTTTACCTTTCAATAAAAAGCTATTTATATCATTGAAAGCTTTGTTATTATGTTTTTCTTTTAAGATTAAAGATGTTAATATATGAGTTGTTTTTTCTAAACTAAAACCTCAGTATTCACGTTCAATTGCAGTGTTGGCACTTTGTGATAAGTAATTTTTGGGTTGTAGTTCGGACACTTGGTCTTTAAAAGGTTCACCATAACTGACCTAAAACAAAGATATTTATGTCTGTGGTACTAGTTTAAGTTTTTGGTAGGGTAGAAATTTTGAAAAAGAACATGAAAAAGTTGTGGCTGCCTTATAGGGTTGCTAGGATTACAGAAGAAAATGGATGCATAAAAAGGTTTGGTAATTAAGTAAGTGCCTCATTAACATATTCATGGATGGATACCCAGAGCCCAACCCTGCTGATGTCTAAAAAGCATCACAGAGATAGCTTAGAGTGAATGTCCTGGTTCAAGGGAGCAGAGATTAAGATGTACAGCCTGGTACTCACACGGAAGCCCAGCTCTCCAGCATAGCCACTGTGGTCAGCTTCATTTTCCTGATGGGAAGACAGAAAACAGGAAATGAGCTTCTCAGCAGGAACACCTAGCTTTTCCCTTAGTGTCTACTTTCCACTGCTGTCCAGCCCTTCTATTAGGATATACTGTCCCCTAAAGAGTAGGGGGAAGAGAACCTGGAAATGTAAAGGTGCCAGCCCAGGCAAGACCAAGCAAAATAAAAAAGCACTGGAACAACACCAGAAAAAAAAAGAGGAAAAGTCTGATATGGGTTGGGAATGGTCTCCAGAAAAACCACTTACTGTTGACTCCTCATGCTGGACTTGTCTTTCGGGTTCTTTGTAGCCCAGAGGAGCATCAAAGTCCACCTACATTTTTCAGATGAAAGATAAAATTTTGAGATATGGCCACACTTAGCTTTGGCTATTCTGAGATAACTACAGATTCATATGTAGGTCTAAGAAATGACACTGAGATATATGCCTGATACACTTTTGCCAACAACACTTTACAAACTGCTGTAGGACAACACACATTAGCAAATATTGCTCTTACATATAGTGCCCCCAACTTATGTATGCATGTGTAGGGGGATGTTTACATGTATATGTGCACGATTAGTTCTAATTAATTTTATCACCATGCAAGACTCTGTATCTACCACTATAGTGAAGATACTGAACAGTTCCACTAGCACAAGAGTCCTGCCCATGTCCCTGGTAATCACTAATCTTTCACATCTGAAGTCCTGATACCTTAAGAATGTCACATAAAGGAAAGCAGCCCCATATGTAGCCTGTTGGGACTGGCCTTCTTACTCACATTAGGACGTTATATGCATCAGCAATTTGTCTCTACTCAGGAGATTTCCTTCACTTTTTTTTTTTTGTTTTGTTTTTTCAAATAAGGTCTTGCTTTATAGTACAGGCTAGCTTTAAACTCACCATTAACCCTGAGCTGGCCTCAAACTTTCAGTGATCCTCCTGCTGCAGCCTCCTGAATGCTGGAATCACAGGCATATGCTACCATGCCTGATTCTCTTTAGCACTTAAGAATATTCATTTTTTTACAGTCTGAGCAGACTGTAAATTCACCCACTTCTACAGTGGTAGCAAAGTCTCCCTTTGAACCTTGGAATGGTTCACTAGGTAAACAGCCTCCTCTGATGTTCTGATAGCATCTACCTCCCAAAGTAGAGGTACTAAGGGACAATTTCCAGGGGCTCTAGGTGAGCCCAATTAAACTATAAAAAGTTACTCACATTCATGTCACATTCAATGATGGACACAGCCTTGTCAGGTTTGGTTTCCATCACCCGTAATTCATAGATCTGCAGGAAGAACACATAAATGAGTTGGATAGTTTCGAGGTAGCATTGGGGGCTGGCAACATCTGCTTAGTAGAACTTGCTACCTGGAATATGTGGACAAAGCCTGCACGCTTATGACACCAGCCCCCAGTTTCACGTCTTCCTTCAACAGTGAGGCTCAGGGGGAGGTTGCCTTTATGTTCAGTACTGTGAGGATGCCATTACTCATATATGGTTCTAATTAGACCAGTAGTGGTTTCGAATGGCAGTTATGTATCATAATACAAAAGATACTACCTTTTATTCAGAAAGTTCACTTCTAGGAATTTCTTCCAACTAAATAATTAACTAAATAAGTACCCAAGAGGAAAATTCTAAGAAAACTTACTGCATCATTGCTAATAATAATGTATGTCCAAAATTCCTACTACTAGATTAACGATAAGAACAATAACATGAGCTGAGTGTGGTCGCTCACACCTGTAATCCCAGCACTCAGGAAGCTGAGGCAGGAAGGTCATTGTGAGTTTGAGCTCAGCCTAGGCTACAAAGTGAGCTCAAGGCTAGCCTGAATTGCATAATGAGACTCTGTCTCAAAAGACAAAAAAAAAAAAAAAAGAAATGTAACATGGCCAGGCATGGTGGTGGACACCTGTAATTCTACCACTTGGGACACTGAGGCAATAAGATAACCACGAGTTTGAGGCCAGCCTGGACTACACAGTGAGTTCAAGGCCAGCCTGAGCTATACAGTGAAATCCTGCCTCAAGCAAAACAAAAAAGACAAAAGCAAAAATAAAAACAAATAAGCCAATAACATGAAGGCTGTCTATAATTAATTGCAAAAACTTAAAATATTCAGTTATGCTAGGAACAAAAAAATATATTTCTGTACACTTTTATATTAAAAAAAAGGGTATGATTTAAAACCCACAAATATGGAAAAGTGTGGGTTATCAGTATCAGGTGCCTCAAATATAAGAAAACTGTCAGAGAAGAAGGTAGAGTCCTACATTGACATCAAATGAGTAACTGGCTTCCAGACCCTGCAAGGGAGGACCTCGTTGGTTCAGGCTGTGGGGGCTCCAGGAAGAGGAACCAGGTTGGGCTCATTCTTGAATACTGAAGGTTGGCACTGGCAGTAGCTCCATGAGGTCAACTGTTAACTGTTACAATGGATGAGAATCACCCATACTGCTGTGCCCTAAATCTACAGTAGTCAATTTGTGGCACAATTTCCAATTATCACACTTAGTCACCTATAAATGCAACCAATCCTTGAAACATTGAGTGAATTACGACTCTAAATATGAATCTACGCAAAAAATTCTGCGTTTTTTGGTTTTGTTTTTGAGATAGGGTCTTGCTGTGTAGGTTAGGCTGGCTTTGAACTTAGTACGCAGCCTGGGCTAAAACTCAAAGATCCACCTCAGTCTCCTGAGTGCTAGAATTACAGAAGCATGCCACCATACCCAGTCAGAAAATTTTAAAACACAAACATGCAGTACTCACATGATGGATTCCAGTAATACCCTGTTTAAAAAGAAGCCCTATTCAAATAGCAGAATGGATCATGCAAGTGGGTCTTCTTAGGCAGAAGCTGTGACAAGGTTGGTTTACATACCTTCTCATTGTAGTTGATAGCAATCACATCCCCAGTGGTCAGACAGGCAAAGTTTCTCAGTGCATTTTCTAATCTGTGGACATACTGTCAAGGCAATATGGCAAGACACACAACTTCTGTATGTAATGAGTGTGAGAGGTTGCATGGGTACTATCACATAGACAGGCAGTATGTATCAAAGGGGTACTAAAACACACAGCTTTGGCATGTGGATGAAGCTGGGTAGTACAGTGCTTGCCTAGAGCACTGAAACAAATCTCTAAGTTCGATCCCTAGCACTGCAAAAACAATTAACAAAAACATGCAGGTCTAATATTTTCAAAATATTTTCAGTGATGCTGCAAGGGAGTACTCTTTTACTTAAACATGGAGAAGCTGAGCCTAAATTGAGCCCTAAAATCCAGAACAGTTGGCCCCTGAGGAAAGAAATGGCTTCTTGCATCACTTTTGCATGCCCTGGTAGATGCTCTGGTGTAAGCTTGCTACCTTCTGTGTTTTACACAGCTAGCTGCTTCCCAGCTGACAAAAGTGATACCTTTTCTCTCTGCAGTAACAAGTTTATCATGCTAACAGAAATGGCTTCTGAAAACAATCCTGCAAGTCTCATTTGCAATATGTATAAAAATAAAAAGATCAGAAGGGGCTATGATCAGAGGCAGGGGCCCTTTCTGGTCAGTGACAGCCAAACATCTTTAGAAAAAGCAGCTTTTCCCACAGGACATCCCCCTACCTGCAGGATAGGAAGCCTCCACCAATGACTATTCCATGGGCAGAGTGCTCAGCACGAACCCAGGTTCAGGAGTCAGCCAGCAGGGGCCACCGTGTCTACGACATAATTAGCAAAAGGCTTAATATGGCCTGTTCACATGCAGGACATGATGACCTGCATCTTACTGCTGACAATGGGCCTGGAGACAGCAGAAGGAAAAGGAGATAGTAGGCCTGGATACAGTGAAAAAGTGGAGAGGGAGGCAGATATTTTTCCCCTCTTAATTTTCCATGTTTTTTTTTTTTTTAAACTAGGCACCTTAAAAAATAAATAGGGCTGGGTTTGCAGTGAGAGCATTTGATTTGCATGCACAATACCCTGAGTTCAATCTTCAAAATAATGCTTGCAATGCTGTGCAGCCTTGACTAGCCTTGAATTTGTAATCCTATCTAGTGTAGGCCACCATGTCCAGTTTGTATTATGATTTAACAAGCCAAATGAGCCATCGAACTAGTTGCACAGTCCACACACTACATCACTCAGCTACACTGGCGACATCCTTACATAGAAACACATATACCTGCCTTAAGTGCAAGGGTGAACATTAAAAAAAAAAAAAAAAAATCATGAGAGCCTAAAACCTTTGCTTTCTGCTTTGAGACAGAAAATGGTTTGGAGTGAATGAGCTTAAGCCTGGGCATATAGTGGGGTTGACTGGGTAGCTCATAGCTGAGGGACCAGGGGTCCATAGAGGGCCTGAAGACAATGGGAGATGAGCCATTTTTCTACTGCATGCACTGTGCATCCTGCACTTTGTGCTAGACAGAAAGTCCAACTGAAAAAAGGATTCTACAAAGTTTCTGGAAAGTGACCAAAGAAGCCCAATGAACACTCACTCCACTTGACCAAGACTGAGAGTGAGGAGGATGTTTTGGTTAAATACTTTTTTAAAGATATGGTCTTACCATGTAGTTCAGGCTGTTCTTGAATGCTGTGTAGCCCAGGCTGGTCTTGCACTCACAGTGATCCTCCCACCTTAACCTCCTGAGTCACCTGAGATTACAGGCATGTGCCATCTCAACTAGCTATATGCTATTATTCTTAAATTACAACTTCAACCACGATTAACAGTGTGTCCCCCAAAGTAGGCACAAATTTAACAAATGCATGATGGTTAATGACTGCCAGAGCATTCTTCTTTGAGCAGCCCTTCTTTTGGTGACAAAAGGGATGGAAACCAGGGACTCACACATACTGGGCAAGTTCTCTACTGCTGAGCTATATCCCCTGCCCCCAGCTCTTCTTATTTCAAAAGGATACACTGCTTTGGGGTTGGTGATATCCAGGAAGTCTGGGCTCTGAGGCTGGAATTTGGAGTAGGTGGCCACTTGCAGGTTGACACTCTCCACCTGAACCAGTCCCCCTTCCTCCAACAACAAATTCTGCATCATCTGAAAGGATCCAGAAGAAGGTTGCATGAAACGCCTAAAGGCTACTCCGGCTGCCATCTTCCCACACACACACTTGAGGATAGGTAACTTCATTGTGATATAATATCAAGAAGGAGGAAGAAAAATCGTGATGGAAACACGTGGAAAGAAAAAGGTCAAAAAAGGAGTTCGACAAAGGTTAATTAGACCACTTCACTGTCAGCCATGTGAATTTGCCACCATGTTTTCTGGAATAAAATATTTCCCTGGGATGCTTAGCTCAACTTCTGGCTCCCAACTGATCCAAAAGCAACTTCCAAAGCTCTGAGTAAACAGGACTGCACGTTGGTGGGATGATGACAGCCCAAGGTGAGGATGACCTTGCATGGAATAGCTTGTCATGCCTGAGGCAGTAAGGTAGTTACAAGGTCCCAGAAATGTCTGTTACAGAGGGATATAAAAAAACTGATGATACCCTCACCCACCTCTTAAACCATCCAACAAGGTAGACGATGGCTGAGGAAGGAGATGGAAGACATAAACATGGCCTATGAGAACCTGGCTTGTGGTGAGCAGGGACACTATAGTGTGGGCAAGTCTCAGTTTGGCGGTAAGTAAAGAGGAGCCCAAATATCCTGGAATGAGTTATTTATTTTTCTTATTTTAAACCTTCTTCCAGAGAATCTTAGACACATACAGAAGCTGAGAAACCCAGAGTGAATTTCACACATCCCGCCCTGACAAGTTATCATGGTAATCAAGATGAAGTCCAGCTTCTCTGATTTATCAGTGCCACGGCATTCCCCAAACCCATCCCATACCAGACCACCCTGAAGTAAATCCCAGGTGCCACAGCCCAAAGAAAAGAGAGCAGGAGGCCATGGAGCAAGTGAGATGGGGAAGCTTATCTGGAAAGTAGGGTGTACCAAGAGCTGTAATGTGGAGGAAGACTGGACTCAGCCAGGAGTGACACATGAGAGTGGGCACTGGAATGAGCCTGTGGAGGCCCTAACCCAGTAGTGCTGAAAGATGCTCATCAGGATGGAAATGACAGAAATAGAGGAGTGGTTGTTCCTCCAAATGCCACAGGCAGCCAGAGGTAATCATAGTGGGATAGTAAAGCAGCTGGCTTTGACAAATGATGGTTCTGTGACTTTGGGGAATGGAAGTGAGGAGAAAGCACAGGCCTCCTGTTGAGGAGCTGGCAAGGCCTACCACTCATGAAGGGCCCAGGACCCAGCCAAAGAAGGTAAGTCATCCCCACAGTGGCACAAGCAAGGTTATTTCCTGTAGGAAGGAAGGGATTTTTAGAATTTGTAATCACTTTTAATATCAGAGGGAGGAAATACTATTTTTGAAAGTGTGCCATTTCTGAACACTGCTCTTGTAGCATGGGGCCTCAGGTGTGACAGCTAACCCACTTCTGTATGTTCCCAGCCCACACAGAGGATCCCTAGTACCTGAAAAAATTAAAGCACAGAAAAAAGGATATATGTGTTTCTCTGTGGGCTTTCCAAAGATAAGGGTGTTACAGCTTGGGAGAGGCTGGGAGTAGGGGCAGGGAGAGAAAGGAAAAGGAAGCTACATCGTTTTTAAGGCCAGCTATGTGGAATGGTCATCACCTCAGACTCATACCTAAAAGGGTTACCTGTCTGAGCCAGCTTTAGAGACTCTCATGTCTTTGATGTCTAGGTGTGCAATGACATCCTTCAAGTCTACTAGACTCGTGTGTCCACAGCCAAGTAGACTGCATAAGGCATAGCAGAGTGCACTGTTTTAAATCCCTACCTCTCACTGGACTATTCTGCTTTCAAGCAGGATTGACTCTTGAGTATGCGTACACAAGGTGAGGTTGGAGTTTCTACTTACGAAGTCTCCATTTTGTGACAGGCAAAGGGTCAAAAACTCTCCAGAGGGGCTGGGGATTTAGCTCAGGGGCATAAGCACCTTCCTTGCAAGTGTGCGGTCGTGAGTTCGATCCCTGGTACTGATAAAAACAAAAAAGACAAAAAAAAAAAAAAAAAAAAAAAAAAAAAAAAAAAAAAAACAAAACCAAAAAACCAAAAAAACAAAACTCTCCAGAGACCCTGACAGCCCCACTCACCCAGTGTGGAAGGTAACAGATGCCCTCATCAGCCACGAATTCCAGCACACCGCAGTGTGTCATGCGGTCAGAATTCTTATTTGTCAGTTTGAACAGCATGGGATAGGTAATGTTAAGTCGGCCTAAGAAAAAAAAAAGATGTTATGAGGCATGGTTCAGGATACCCTGAGACACAGCTCCTATGAAGCAGAGAAGCCTATTTTATTCAACACTGTCCCTTGGAAGGAGCTTCCTCCCTGTTCACAGAGGCTTTATTCCCCACACTTGAATATTTGCCCTGCTGCAGCTTCTGCCCTTCAACAAACTCCTTACTGCTCAAGGTGCCCAAGTGATGCATCACTATCTAGAAGAACACAGAGAATAGCTTCGAGGAGCCTGGAAATGTCTGGTGACTCAGTCATGTAGCACTGGTACCAACTTGACACTGTACAACCCAGGCAAGCACTCTGTTATTGAGCTATGTTCCTCACCATGAAATTAAAAATTTAATAACAGGCTCATATATTTGTCAGTAACTTAAGTGCCAGTCATGTGCTAGACAAAAATCCCTAGAATCAAAAGTTTCAAATTAGAATGAGAGAGAAAACAAACATGCATACCCAAGTGCAGTAGGTGCTATGGAAAGGTCAGGGCAGGAGGGGGCAGGGCCACTGGGCAGGCAGGCTAGGGAGGCAATCCAAGCAGAGTGGCCAGAATGAGCATAGGAATGCAAGAGCAGAACCCAGGCAGTTTAAAGAAAGATAGACAACTGGGCAAAACAGGCTGGGGATGGGTGTAGAAATGGTCAGGAATGCAAAGGGAGATTGGGGTGATACCATGAAGGGCAAAACCTAGTGTCGGGGTCTATAAGCCATATGGGCTAAGCAAGGTCATGACAGTATGTCCTTTCACTTCACTGGTTGATGAGGTGAGAGCTGTAAGGGCAGAAGTAGGTGGTAAGCAGGACAGCTGGCAGGCTACCTCAGAAGTTGCAAGGGGATAGAATGGAGACGCTGTCCATGGGAGGTAGGAAACACAGGGGACTAGGCTCTGGGGGAGGCATCTGATAAGGTACTGATAGTGGTGTTCTGCCCCAGACCCTTGTTTGGTCTTTCCAGAAGAGTCCAGAAAGTATAATTATCATCTCCCTTTTATCCACAGCCAAGCTGAAGTGTGAAGGTAAAGTAGACAAATTAGATGCTCAAGTGGTGATGCTTTGATTCAAATGCAGGCTGTTGGCTTCAGTCTGAGGACTACTAAGCCCCAGAGGTAGATCTGACCTTGTCAGGTTAGGCAAACATTATCAACAGAAACCCATGTGGCATCAGGAGGAAAAGTGGATTTCTGAACTCTCTCTAAAATTCTAATAAAACAAAGCAAGCACAGAGCTGGGGCAGGATGCTCTGGAGAAGCCCAGGAAGCAGCACCTTATCACAGAGGTGCACTAGGGATGGGTCAGTAAGTCTCTTTGGAACACTAAGGGTCACACCCAGTACTTAGTTCTTTTCAGCTCATCCTGAAAACAAGGCCCTTCAAAAATGCTGTTTCTTCTTTGGAATGACTAGTCTGTGAATACTACTACAATTGTAAGCCCCATGACTCTAACCACCTACTGCTGAGCTAAGGACTCTACTGCGTATGGCCACAGCCCAAGGTTTGTCTTTTCCTTCATGGCTGGAATCAAATGGGCTTGGTTTGTTTATATTCATGCTGCAGCAGCTCCAATGCACAACGGCTATGGATATCTCTGATTAAGGAAGACAACACTGAGGTCAAGAGAAGCCAAGTCATGAATCTATAGTCAGGTTGGGCAAGATAGAAAAGCTAAGATACCAGAGCCAGCACGTTCTCCACAAGCTACTACTATATCCCCATGACTATGTTCCCCAGGAGGACTTCAGTGGAAATGTCTTCAAGTTCTAAAAGGCAAGATTAAGGCTGTCCATTAAGGCTTTCCATATTTGAAGCAAAGGGTTTCTTGGTTGCTCTTTTCAGATAAAAGATTTGGGGGAAAAGGAAGTGTGTGCCTGGGCTTTGGCTACTAGTATTTATAGATGAGAGCTCAGCAAGAGAAGATGATAGCTCAATCTTTGACCTACTCAGGATGCAGTGGCTTACTGAGGGTGAGAAATGTGGGTACAAGGCTCAGGAAAGATGTTTGGAGAGCAGATGAGGAAGCCTTGCACTGTCCTCTTGTGAAACTCTTTTGTCCTTCATCCTGATACTTTCAGTGAACTCTAACAGATTCCTGAAACAAGTTAGGGGTAGTTCAGAGAGAGGCACTCTCTTCACAGAAACAGGGACCTGAAGGGCCCATGGCACTGGGGAAGTTGAATACTCACTGGTCTAGGACTGCACAGTAGGCCATGACTACACATGACTTTGTCCTGGCACATGTAGCTAGTTCTCCCACCTCAACATGTACCCACAGGAATGAATCCTGACTAGATGTGGACAAAAGTTACCTGTGAGTGTTTACATGCACAGAAGAGCCTATGCTGATTTCTGGAATCAGTATTTATATTACAAAAGTTCTCCAGTCACTTGGAAAATACTTACTGAGTTGATCGAGGGCTGAGGGTGGCATAATTACTGTGGAAAGAATATTCAACAAATTTAAGAAGATAAAAAACAAAAAGACAGATCAAGGGCAAGGAGCAGTTTCTTTGATATTTAAAGGAATTTTTAAACAATATTTTTAGGGTAAGCAGAATTTCATAATGATCTTGCCTAATGAATCTTACTTGACATGATTTATTTCGGGGAGATGAATGTTTCCTCATCATGAAACTAATCATACTTAGCACCCTATTCCCATCATCCATGCCCACTCAGCGAGTCTGAGACAAATGACATTTTTACTCAAAGGCCAGCTTCTGGTGCTTACAAGAAAAGTATGGGCTGGGGAAGAATACAAACTTCATAGATATAGGGAAGAAAAGGTTACTATTCAAAATAAAAACAAGCACATACTCTTCCCTCCTTTCTCCACATCTGACCTGTCATTAGGCCCTGCGAGCATGGACACAGAGAAGCAGCGGTATTGTGTGGAGAAGCGGTTCTGGAAGACCCGGGGAATTGGGTGGTCGAACATGTTGAAAGAGAACTAGAAGGAAAGAGAAACTGGCATTAGAACAGAACAAAGGCACATTTCTTTTTATTTTTAGTGATAGAGTCTTGCTACATTACCTAGGTTAGTTTCAAATAGCTGAAAATATAGGTGAGAGTCACAGTGCCTGTGTACATTTCTTCAAGCCAAAAGTCAAAACATGCCCAGGTCATTAATATTGCTGAATGTGGCTGAAGAACATAATGTACTGAAATCCTGATTAACCAGAAAGTTCTGGTATCTTTAGGAGTAGTGCACTCAAATTCTTTCTGCCTCACCCACTCATCTCTCAGATACAATTCTATCACCTTTAGACAGCACATCTATCCTTATTTCTTTTCTTTTTTTTTTTTTTTTTTGTCTTTTTCCTTTTTATCAGTACCAGGGATCGAACTCATGACTGCCAGCTTGCAAGGCAGGCGCTTATGCCGCTGAGCTAAATCCCCAGCCCCCATCCTTATTTCTTTCAGGAGTGTTCTCATTCTAAGAATCAAGGCTGAACCTTCTATACACATCATACAGACTTGTTACTGACCATCTCATAATCTCCCAACCTGCCATGCTCCTACCTAGGCTAATGCTTCCACTTAGAAACCATTTCCTATTACCATTAATTTAAAAGATACTTACTAATTGATAATTATCTCTTTTTATTGAGTACCTACTATCTACCAAGACACTAGGACAACATAATCTTAGTGGTGTTTGTTCACCGACACAACAGACACCACCGTGTCAGCTAGTTTTAAGCTAAGAAGCAGGGTAAGAGGACACAGAGTTTCTGGGACTGATATTTTAACAGGTTATAGATCAACTTGGGATTTTCTTGAAGTATTTCAAGTACTGTAACATTTGTGAAGAGAATATAAAATTGCACAGTTGGGTATATATGCAAAAGAATTAAAGTTGAGAATATTTCTGCTCATAACAGCACAATTAAAATAGCATAAAGCAGAAGCAACTCAAATGTCCACTGATACATGAATAAAGAAAATGTGTTATACTCATATAGTGGAATATTGTTTACCTTTATTTTATTTTATTTTTTGGTAGCGGGGATCAAACTCACAACCTCGTGCCTGCCAGGGGAGTGCTTATTGCCACTGAGTTAAATTCCCAGGTCCTGTTCACCCTTATAAAGTAGGAAATTCTGTCACATGGATAAGCCTTGAGAATGTTTTGCTAAGTGACATACAACAGTCATACAAGGACTTATACCAAATAACTCCACTCATATAAAATATCTATAATTAATTTAGATACAGAAAGTGGAATCGTGGTTGTCAGGGTAAAAATGGTAAGGAAGGTACCTAATGATAAGTAGTTATGTTTGTAATTACAAAATTAGCAAGCTTAATCAGCTATTTCCCTAAGACATAGCTACAGAATGTGCCTACTTAAAATCTTAAGGCGAGGCCAGGGATTTAGATCAGTGGCATAAGCATCTGCCTGGGAAGACCTAGGTTCTGAGTTCAATCCCCGGTTTTAAAAAAAAAAATCTTAAGGTGTTCACTACTTAGAGCTCTGGTAGAGTACTTTTCAGTCTTTTTGTCTGTCTTAAGTGCCATTTCCAAATCAATCTGGCATGAAAGTACAGCAAAAGATCTTCTTCTGAAAGTACAGCAAAACATCTTCTGAACGACTGAAGCTAGGGGAGTGGAGGCCTCAAGGAAAATCCTTTCATCACACCACTCCAACTAAGCTATTTCTTCTCTTCCAAAAATAAAAGAGCAAAAGGTACACAAAGCATGTAACATCCTTAACAAGCCATCTGCAGTTCATTTTCCTATAAACTTGACCTTCACCTCCCTGCTTGCTTTTGACTCCACGTGTTACTTTCCTTTACTGCTGGCAAACAGTTTTGGCTTCGAATCTCCACTCCTCACTTTTGTGACCTGGCGTAGACTTTCTCTGAAAACTTTAGTTTTTTCTAGTGTAAGATGACAATAATCATCCTTGGCTCCAGGAGGATTGTAGAGATTATAAGGGATAAAATGTGCCGAGGGACTACAGGTATGACCAAAAAAAGGGGGACGAGGGTCAGAAAACGTTAGCTAAGCTCATCACTACTTAAACACAACACAACTGTGTACATCGGAAGACATGAATCCAGATGCAGAGCTGACCGAACTGGGCCAAACTGTTGGATGTTCTTCACGCCAACGGGGATTCCCCGAACGGATTCTCCCTAGGACGTGCCTGATTCTGTTTCCCACTCCCATTCCCAACATACTTTCTAGTTAATTTTGGGTTTATGAAAACCTGTTGCGTGTTGAGCACTTTCGAGACATATGGGTGGACACGAAAGTATGATCTTTCCTACACACAAGGAACTCAAGCCCAGCTAAGAAGGAATGCAAATCATATCCCGGACAAAGGTAGACAAACAGACGCAGTTGGTAATCAACCGTCCGGCTCAGGCCCAAAGAGCCTGGGACTGCCAGGCGGGCCAGACTCCGGCCGGGTGACTCGGCATCTGCGCCGCCGTCTCACTGGGCACCGGTTTGAATTCTAACCTCATTCTCAGCTACCGACTGCTGCCCAGCCGCACTTACCATTATGGACACCGCTTCGCAGACGCCGCTTCTCTCAGGAACTTTAGGATAGGAACCCTGGGGAAGGTCTGTTTACAACCGCTGCAGCCGCCTCACAGAGACCGGACTCTCTAGAACCTCACCGGAAGTACCCGATCTGAGACCCACAGAGGGGGGAGCAGAGGCCGTCGGTTGTAGAGAGAGAAAGCAAGGCCAAGACATAGGATCTAAAAATTAACAAGCATAAACATTAAAATATCTTTCAATAACGTGTTTGTCTATATAGAGATAATTGTAAAGTTAATTTAAAAAGTTTTTGAAAGTACTCCTCGGCAGATGAACTTGGTAGGGTCCATTCCCCTTACTGACTACACTACCCAGAATGCATCTAGAGCCTTACGGCCTTTGGTTTCGCCACTTTGGATTTGGGCGGAAGTAAACTACGCGCCCGCCTTGAAACCGAACCAGATGCTTATTGAAAATTTAAAATGCCGCCTTCAATCGAAATGTAACTAAATTTAATTTATTCTAGGGGTATATTTTTCCGGAAGATGCCCAGCGTGAAACATCAGGTTTTTTTCCCAAAGTAAAGATGTCCGCCGAGAGTGGGGTTTCTGGGTAAATGAGAGTCAGTGTTGAATGAAGCAATCTTATTTGTTCCCACCCCCGGAGACAAAGTAATGCTTATTCGGGAGATTTTTTTCTACCGTGAATGGTGGAGAGCTATTACCCTCCCCAATATGGCCCAATCAGAAAAGAAGAAAGTTTGGATACTTAGAGGCTATTGGTTGGTAGCTTGGACCAATCAGAGAAGCCGTGATTTGGCGGGAGTCTTCCAGTTCTTCGAGTTTTAGTGCAAGTGCTGGGTGTCCTACCTCAGAGGCTATGTTCGTGTCCGATTTTCGCAAGGAATTCTACGAGCTGGTCCAGAGCCAGGTAACTCAGCGCATGACCCGGGCCGGTGCCTTGTCTGTGGGGAAGTGACGAGGGGGAGTGGCCCTGGTGGCCTGGAGGTTAGGGAGCAGCCGGGGTTTAAGTCGCTGAGCTCAACCCGCCCACTGTTCCTCTCAACAGAGAGTCCTTCTCTTCGTGGCCTCGGATGTAGACGCACTGTGTGCTTGCAAAATCATTCAGGTGAGCTCTGAGGACCTAGGAGGGCAGGCCAGGGCTAGAAGTGAGATAACAGTGTGAGTTTGGTTTTGAATATGGTGCAGTTCAACATTGAACTGGGATCAGAAACTTCTCAGAACATTTGAAATTAAGATCAATTTTGGCAACTTTCACAAGTTAAGCAAAATTGATGAACTGTACATTGAGCATGCTCATCGCTGTAACCTAGTTTCTCCCATTAATATTTAGTAACTTCAATTGTCACATTATTTTTCCCTCAGTCCCTCTAGTCCCCCCACCCCGGTGTATTTCAATGTAAATTGTGGACATACTAAATAAGATAAGCTTGAAAATACTCTTTTCAGGCTCTGTTTCAGTGTGATCATGTGCAATACACTCTGGTTCCAGTTTCTGGGTGGCAAGAACTTGAAACTGCGTACCTTGAACATAAAGAACAGGTAAGAAAGATGCATTTTAGAATAATTGAGCTGTTGTGTTTTTTTTTACTCAATTACAATTATTTAATACTTAGTATTCTTTCTACTTCCAGTAGGTTGATTTTTGTCTTCCATGTTACCTAGTTAAGTTGTTAACAACTTAACTAGGTAACATGGAAGACAAAAATATGCTGTGTATATTGATGACTTACCTTTAAGTTAAGGGGATAGAATTGACAAAAAGATATTGAAAATGGGCAGCATTTAACTTTGAATTTTCTTTGCAGAAATTTGGTTGTAAGATGCTTGGAGTTTAGCGGTTTTTAATATGACTTCATTAAAATTATTTTAGAATACATCACTATTTTTTGTTACTTCTTTAAGAAAATGCATCCCAGTTTTCAATTTTAAATTTAGAAATGAGTATTGTCCCTTTGGAATTTAAATAGCAGAGGCCAGGACTCCCCTGGCTTGCATGGGGTCAAGTAAGAAATGAGAGATTATGGGCTGCATAGTGAGGTGCTGGGATATGGAAGAGGTTTCTGGCCACTTCTAGGTCTGTTTTGGCTGAAATAAATTCTCCTTTGGAGTTTCAGTCATAACTTGAAGAATTTGTGCCAATTGGGTATATTTCTAAGGAAAGGTTTTGCTATAGTGATTGTGTGTAATGAAAGTCTTACTACTTAGATGCCCATAAAGTGTGGATTACCCAAAATAGGCCAAAAACTTCAATCTAAACAACACTATTAGCACAGAGAGGTGCTGCAGTCCAGACATGCTAACAACTGAAGCGGCCCCATTGTACATTAGAAGTCGAAGTCTGCTCTTATTTATAAGCATCTTGACCCTATGTACAAAATTGGGTTTGTTGAATTTTACCATGCGCCTCAGAAAGTGGGGGAAGCAAGAGAGTCTACTTTCACAGTATCACCTTGGAGAGGAAATACCCATAGAGTATGTTTAAGCACTTAGCACAAGTCAGCCTTCACTCTTTTTTGAGGCTCTTGCTACGTGTTAGGGCTTACTGTGTCTCAGCAGAGACTTGGAGGCCTAGAAACTTGGGGACTTATCTGTGCCTTTTTATGTTTTGTATAATGTTGCTTCTTGCCTTGGTGAAGGCTGTGTCCTGGTGAAGGGGAAGGGTCCTTCTCAATGCGATTATTTTACATGTTTCCTTTCTGTTTACAGTTTCACTATTTTATTCTTATTAACTGTGGAGCTAATATAGATCTACTGGATATCCTTCAACCTGATGAAGATGCTATATTCTTTGTGTGTGATACCCACAGGCCTATCAATGTTGTGAATGTGTACAATGACACACAGGTACTGGGGCTTTGGGGGTTACCCCTCTTGTATGCTGCCCACTCAACCTATCTGGGCCTTTTTATGCCTTGTGTAATGTTACATCTGGTGAAGCATGTGTTTGGTCCCAATGTGGAATTGTGAATAGCCTGACTATAAGAACCTGGTCTTATCTATCTCTGATGATTGATAAGGAAACTAGCCCTTGGGTTTATGCTGAATGCAGTTATGGAATTTGCTTGACCTGAGATGTATCAGGACCAAAACCTTGTGTCCTAAAATGACTGTGCTTATTCTTTGAAACCCTGGACATCAAGCACATAACCTAGCACTGAGCAAGCCAGCTGAGCTTTTTTGGGCTTGAGCTTTTCTACCCACCAAGGTGTGAGATCCCGACATTCTCAGAGGAGGAACCTCTCCAAGAGAAGTCAGCTGGCAATTGGTTTTAGAGATAGGAGTTGTATTCACTTAGGAATCTGTATCTGTCTTAGTTCATTTTGTAGTGCTATAAGCAAATATCTGAAACTGGGTGCCTTATAAAGAAAAGAGGTTAACTGGTGACACATACCCTAATCCTATCATTTGGGAAGTAGAAGCAGGAGGATTGTGAGTTTGAGACCAGCTAAAGCTGCAGTGAGTTCAAGGCCAAAATGGACCAAAGAGAGAGGCCCTGTCTCAAAAAATGAAACAAGCACACTCAGATTTATTTAGCTTATAATTCTGGAAATTTAAGACCCTGGTGCCAGCATTTGCTGGTTGGCTTAGTTGTAGTGAGGGCTTCATGGGGTATCATATGAGACAAAAAGAGACAGAAGGACCGAGGGAGAGAGAGAGATATCACATACTGAGATAGGAAGCAACCCATGCTTGCAGCAAGGAACCACTCCTAGGAGACCTGATCCATTCCTGAAAGACAACATGAATCCACTTTGAAGGGTAGAATGGTCAAAATCTAATAACCTTCCAGGAAGCTGGCTTTTAATGGTTCTACCATTTCAACACGATCACACCAAAGACCAAGTTTCTAGTTTATGTGGCTTTGTGGGAGCAAACCACATCCAAACTGTAGCAACATTTTCACATCCTTCATCAGGTTCCAAGTTGTGAAGTGTTCATTTGGTTAATGTATGGCATAAGAGGGAGCTGTTTTTTCCAGACTTAAGTAAAGTCTAGGTTTCAAGAAATTGTTTTCAGGTTTTCATAATTCCTGCATACCATGTGGTACAACTCCAGTGCCTCACTGTATAGTAGTGAAAACAAGGAAATGCCTAGGAAATCCAAACTCTTCTCAGACAGGTGACTATTTGTATGTACAGAAAACTTATGAGTCAGCTAACTAGAAATAACAAAGATTCTACAGGAGAAAAACACATTTTTCAAGGAGAGATGAGAGACTCAATTGCTTTTCTGTTTTAAACTTAGATTAAGTTACTCATTAAACAAGATGATGATCTTGAAGTTCCTGCCTATGAAGACCTCTTTAAGGATGAAGAGGAGGATGAAGAGCATTCAGAAAATGAGAGTGATGTATCAGAGCCTTCTGGGAAGCGCACAAGGTTAGAAGAGGTATGTCTGGACCTCTTGTGATATCTTGGGGTAACCTGTATTCTTAAGAGTTACCCCTAGAGCCTGCTGGCCCAGAAGTAATGTTGGGGAAGGGGGTACAGGTGGAAAATGGAAGACTTAGCAGGTGTGGGTACTGACCCTGGGTTCTTCTGTCCCCTCTGGTTTTGTTTCAGGGTACTGGACTTCTCCGTGCTACAGCTTCCTTACCTGTAGGATCCTATCAGATGAAATAGAACTTAAGACAGTTCAGTTCTATGAGTTGCTAACAAATGTGATTTGTTTTATTGAGACAGGGTCTTGCTATGTTTCTCAGGGTAGCTCAAACTTTCAGTGCTCCTGCGTCAACCTTCTAAGTGCTGAGATTATAGGATCATGCCACCAAGCCTTGAAAGCAAACTTTTTTTTAAGGACTAGAAGGACTGGGGAAAAACAATAGTACAAATGTCTCCTCCCTTCTCCATTCTGTTCACAGCATCACTCTTCCTGCAGTCACTGAGAAGGAGCTATGTACCCGTGACCAGGCTCAGTCCCAGACTGTCACTCCAGGGGGAGCATCTGATGTGTGAGCACATGAGTGTTTTTTACCATGAGGCCCTTAGGTCTGAGCTGCTTAAACATCCGGGGCTTAGTAATAGAAGGAGCTTGCTAGAAGCAGAAATGTGGAAGTTATCTGTTCCTAATAATAGCATAGAGAACAGTGTTCTGTTGTTCAGTGTTCAGTGTTAGTTTTGCTGTTGAAGGAACCGTTGACCTGTAGCTCCCGAATCTTGGTGCACAGCTTAGAATTTGCCTCTGGAATGTCTAAGATCTTCCTTTCATCCTTGATCTGAATTCCTGAGGGATGTGCTTTAATGGAGCCATTTTGAGCCATATTTGGGATATTCATGATATCCCCTCTGTGTGGGGAAGGGGCTGTGTTAGAAGGACCAAGGGAGAGAGAGAGAAGCTAGGTTATATGTTTTCTTCTTGCCTTTGCACATTTGTCTCCTGTTTTATAAGAACTTTTGAGTCATCTTGTAGGGAATCTCTTGCATCCACTCTCACATCTTATTTCCTCTTGCCCAGTTCTTGGTCTGTTTGTTTTACTTTCTGACACGCTTTTTGGTCTTTATCTTCTCTTCTGATTTCTAAGAGTTCTTTGTTCTCTGACTATCTCTTTTTATAGCAATCCTTTAACTTTTTTTTCAAGATGTTCTTGCTATGTTACCAGGCTGGACTTAAAGTGATCTCTCTCTTGGCACTACAGGCATGTGCTACCATGCCAGGCAGCATTCCTTTATTTTTTTCCCCCCAAATTCAAATCTTTTCTTAACATTTAGAAACCTTTATTTGCAGCACATACTATATACATTCTTTGTGTGGAGTTGGCACATGTATATAGCACATCTTAATGCCTTTTTTCCCCTCCACTTTCCTTCCTTTCCCTCCATCTCTTGGTCCCCTCCCCTGAGGAAGTTCTGTCTCCCTACTTCTTATTATCATTTATTTTGCCTTTGTTTATAATTAGGTTTCTCATACAAGAGAAACCATGCAATTTTTAAACTTGTGCATCTGATTTATTTCACCTAACATTATGGCCTCAAGGTACGTCCATTTTCCTACAAATGACTCAAGTTTATCTTTTTATGGCAGAGTAGTACTTCATTCTGTATAAATACCTCATTTTCTTTATCCATTTGTCTGTAGATGGACATATAAACTGCTTCCAAGATTTAGTTATGAGGAATTGCATTGCAATAAACATGAGTATGCATATATTGCTATAATATTGTGTTAACTCTTTCAGACAGATACTTAGAAGCAGAATAGCTGGGTCAAATGGAATTTCTAGTTTTAGTTTTTTGAGGCATCTCCATACTGAGTTTCATAGTGGTTGTTCTAGTGTACATTCCCACCAGTGGTGTAGAAGGGTTCCTTTTTCTCTGCAGCCTTGCCAGCATTTGTTATTATTTGATTTCTTTACAATGGCCGTTTCTTCTTGGATAAGATGGTATCTTTGTTGTTTTAAATTTGGCCATTTGTATTTCTGTGAATTTCATTTGCCCATTTTTTTTATCAAGTCTTTTATTTTGAGAGAGGAATCTAGTTTCTAATATTTTGAGTTTTTCATATATTCTAGATGTTAGTCCTCTGTCCTTGAACTTCCCAGAGGTCCTTCCTTTTTTATTTTGGTTTGGTTTGATTTAATTTTTGAAACAGCCTCTTGCTATGTACTTCAGGCTAGCCCAGGCTAGCCTTAAATTTGCTGTGATCCTCCTGTCTCAACCTTCCAAGTGCTGGAATTACAACATGTGCCTCCATGACTAGCTGGATTGGTTCAATTCATTTGCCATTTATGGATTGGGCTATTTGATTTTTGGTGTTAAGTTTTTTGAGATCTTATATTCTAGATGTTAATCCTTAGTCAAAAGAATAGCTGACTAAGATTTTTCCTCCCTTTGTTGGTTGTTTTCTTTGCTGTGCAGAACCTTTTTAGTTTGATGTCTCATTTGTTGATTCTTGGTATTAGAATTCTGTTTGGGAGGTCTTTGCCTGTGTCTATGGCTTCAAGAGTTTCCCCTATTTTCTTCTATCAGTTTCAAAGTTTTATGTCTTAGATTCTTTTTTTTTTTTTTTTTAGACAGGATCTTACTATGTTGTTCATGCTGGCCATGGACTGACTGACTTATGTAGCCCAGGCTGACCTTGAATTCATGACAGTCTTCCTGCTTTAGCCTCCTGAGTGCTGAGATTGTATGTGCACCACCATGGCTGGCATTTTTTAATTGACTTTTGTATAGCAATTGATTTTAAGAGGAATCTGTTTTCAATCTTCTACATATTTCTCTACTCACATTTGTTAAAAAGACTGTCTTTTCTCCAACATACATTTGTTTGGCTCCTTTGTCAAGGATCAGAATAGGGATAGGTTTGTTTCTGTGTCTTCTTTTCCTTATTTCCCCTCCTTAGTCCTGGAGATTGAACCTAAGGCTTTTGCATTGAGCTGTATCCCAAGCACTTGTTTATTTTTTATTTTAAGACAGGGTCTTGCTACCTTGAACAAGTTGAACTTGAACTTTTTATCCTCCTGCCTCAGCCTTCCAGAATGCTAGGATTAGAGGCATGTACCACTATGCCTGGCTGTGTGTATCCTCTATTTGATTCCATTGGTCTACCTTTGATTTTTTTTTTTTTTTTTTTTGTCTTTTTCATTTTTTTCAATACTGGGGATCGAACTCACGACCGCCTGCTTGCAAGGCAGGTGCTTATGCCGCTGAGCTAAATCCTCAGCCCCTACCTTTGAATTTTTGTGCTAGTACTATCCTGGAGTTTTGTATGTGGGAGGTTGTTTTGTATGTGTTTTTTTGTTGTGGTTGTTTTTTTTTTTTTTTTTTTTTTTTTTGTGCCAGGGATCGAACTCATGACCTCGTGCTTGCCAGGCAGGCACTTAAGCCACTAAGCTATATCCCCAGCCCTTGTATGTGTTCTTTCTGAGACAGAGTCTTGTTTGTAGTTCAGGCTGGCCTTGAATTTAGGAATCCTCCTGCCTTAGCCTCTGAAGTGCTGGGATTACAATTGTGCCCCACTACACCTGGTTCCACACTAGAGTTTTTGTTTGTTTGGTTTTTTACTATGAATTTGTAGAATAATTTGAAATTGAGTATTGTGAGGCCTGCAACCTTGCTCATTTTATTTGAGATTGCTTTTTCTATCCTGAGTCTTTTGTGTGTCTGTATGAATTTTCAGATTCTTTTTTATAACTTTGTGTGAAGAATATCATTGGAATTTTGATGTGTATTGCATTGAATCTGTAGGTTGCTTTTGGTAATATGTCATTTTAACACTGAATTCTGCCAATCCATGAACTTGGGAGATGTTTCTGTCTTTTAGTGTTTTCTTTCTTCAGTGTTCTATAATTTTTTTATCATAGAGGTCGTTTACCTGTTGGTTAGGTTGATTCTTAGGTATTTTTTTTTTTTAGGCTATTGTGAATGGAATTGTTTTTCTGATTTCTTTCTCAGTTAGTTCATTATTAGTGTTAGGAAAAGCTATTGACTTTTTTCTTTTTTTTTTTTTTTTTAAGTCTCGGTATGTATTTCCAGCTGGGGTTGAACCATCTATGTAGTCCACGCTGGCCTCGAACCTGTGTCAATCCTCCTGCTTTAGCCTCTCGAGCACTAGGATTATAGACATATACTACCTTTCCCAGCAAGCTGTTGGTTTTTTAATGTTGATTTTGAATGATATTATTTAGCTATTGATGAACTACTTGTTGGGCCTCAAATATCAGTATTTAGTGAGATTAGCTCTGGGAACACTCAAGTTCTGCAGCTAACAGGGTTGGAATTCTTCATTCTGACTTAATAAATAAATAAAACCCAGAACTTTGCACATGATAATTATAGATTTTACCACCCAAATGTGCTTTTTCAGCACCTGTTGTATGCGATTCAGACCCTGAAGTATAAAAGAGAGAAACAAATCCTGCCTTTGCATAGCTTTCTTTCCAGTGGGAGAGACTGATCATGAATATAATTAAAGAATTAATGAGCACAATTAATTAATAATTTCAGGTGGGAAAATAAGAGTAAGGAATTAGGTAGAAAATGGATAGTCAGTCTCTAAGAGACTGCTGAAAACTTGTCCAGAGACTAAATGAAGGGAATGCTCGGATAGAGCATTCACAGACAGAAGGCTCTGAGGTGATTAGGAAGGTCTTAAGGGGGCCTTACACATCATGGCAAAAGGTATAGACAAGGGATAACTGATGAGTGGTTTTGGCAACAAAAAAAAGGATGCTTATTGGTGGCTCAGGCTCCCCATGAAGATACTCCAGTCAATTGGGTAGCTGCTGCTGGCCCTCCTGACCAGCTTTGGGAGTCCCTCACATCCTGTATCCACATAAAAAGTAGATGGGACTGGGGCTGGGGATTTAGCTCAGCGGCATAAGCGCCTGCCTTGCAAGCAGGCAGTCATGAGTTCGATCCCTGGTACCGATAAAAATGAAAAAGACAAAAAAAAAAAAAAAAAAAAAAAAAGTAGATGGGACTCTACTGTGTACTGTTTGAAGGTCAAAGAAATCCCAGGACACAGGAGTTTTGTTAAGTAGCTATTAAAGCATAGTTTCTTTGTGCTTAATTTTAAAAATTATTTCTTTAGTTTTTTGTGTTTGTGGGAATTGAACTCAGTGCCTTATGCACTTGTACATACTAGGTGGATGCTCTGTCACTGAACTACATTCTTAGTCTAACCTTTTTTGTTAGGGGAGAGTCTTGTTTAGACTTGACCTCCTGCTTCAGCCTCGTAAGTAGCTGAGATTATAGATTTTGCCCAGCTATTGAGAAGGCATAATCTCTACTTAGTTCACCAGGTGGCACTTTGATAAGATCTGACAAATGTATTAAATCTTTTTTTTGTTCCAGTACTGAGGATTAAACCAAGGTCTTGTGCTTATTAGGCAAAAACTCCACCACTGAGCAATATCCCAAGCCCTCTTTTATTTTATTTTGCCCAAATAAATCTATGATCTTCCAGCTTTACTCTCCCAAGTATTGTGCAGGCTTTTTTGTGACTTCTTTAAAATATGAGTCAGATACTTTTAGATCAGTAGGTGTGGCAGTCTTGGCTTCCTTTTTGATTCTTTTAACACCCCTGGCAAGGAGATTGGGGTGCTTTGTTACAACTTCACAAGGTAGATAACTGAGCCCCAGCTCAGCCTTTTCTGGGCTGGATAGAAGTGTTTTCAGTGGTGTTGGCTGGACTAGAGTGTTACTGTATAAAAATTTCTGTCTTTCAAGACTGGTCCTTCCAGATCCTTTGGTTAGAAAAGGTAGCTTTTGTTAGATTTTTTTTTTTTTTTTTTCTGCACTTGGTATTTCCAGATTGCTAGCTTCTTCATCTGTAAGTCTGGGTTATATGAGCCAAAAGTAAAACCCAAGGCATGTACTACCTTTTCTTCCACAGGTGCCAGGCTGCTGACTTCTCTGCTTTGATCCCTACCTTTTAGACTTTTTAGTTTCTTTTACTTATAATATCCAGGGCTTTTAGGTATGCCTAGCAGACACATAGGGAAAAAACTTCTTTCCATCTTTCCAGAAGCAGGAGTCTTAGGACCATGGTATTTTCTGTTTTTAAGACAGGTTCTCACTATGCAGTCCAAGCCTACCTTGAACTCTCTATGTAGCCTAGACTGGCCTTGAACTCGGTGACCCTCCTGGCTCAGCCTCTCAAGTGCTGGGCTTACAGGTGTGTGCCACCATGATTGGCTAGGCTCATAGATTTTTATAATCACTGCATTATCCATCTTTTCATGGTAAGGATTAAATGGTATTGTCCATGTAAAATTAGAATCATTGCTGGCATGTGGGAAAATGTAAGAAACACTAGTTCTTAGAAGTCCCAATGGAGACTGAGATACAAGGCAGTGTGAACTTGTTGTGGATTCTGTGGTACTGTGGGCAGTGATAGCTGGAGTGGGAGGACACAGAGTACAACATGGAGCAGAGCCTCAGGAAGCTGCTGCTCTTCTACCCATGGTGTCTGTTGTGAGAGGGGCCTTTCTCTCCTGTAGGAATGGGCTGTGCCTGGAGGATGAAGGTGATACCTCTTCTCCTTCAGAGGTCTGAGCTCAGCAGCTTCTAGCAAACTGAAACCTTCTCAGGCTATGGGGATAAAATCCTGGTGCTTTTGCTCAACCCTTTGTTCCCTTTATTCCCCACCCCAGGAGATGGTGGAGCAAACCATGAAGAGGAGGCAGCGGAGAGAGTGGGAGGCTCGGAGGTGAGTGTAGCTTGCAAAATCTCCCCAGTGCCTGTTCTCTCTGGGCTCTCTAGCACCACTGATACCTTTTATTTTTCCAAAATGCTATATGGATTTTGGGTTTTGTCTGGTTTTGTTTTCATTTTTGGATAAAGCCTTTAGGGCCAGCCGCTCCAGGAGTGACTATATGGCCGCCTCATTGGAGACAAATTTGGGTCACTGTCCGTATATGGCCTTCTGGTCCCAAGAAGGACACAGTAGGCTCAGATCCCTTCCACCTGTTAGGGGTGATGGCCCTTGCCTCATTTTGGGTTAGGTTTTTCAGTGTAGATACTTTTATTATAAAATGCTTATTCATTAAGTAGATGCTAGTACAAAACTTTTCATAGAAAAAAATATATGAACAGAAACTAAATTATTTATAGTACCTCATCCTATTGCAAATGTAAGAAACAAAGTGCTTTAAAATTAAAATATTGGAATGGTTATTCCAGCTCGAGGAACATGCAGCAGTGCTTTGAGGTGGACGCCCCTGAGAATTTCATGTGGACCCCTTCTTTAAATGTCTTGCTGGGCCACACCTCTGTGGTTTCTGCTGTTCTATCTGAGGGCTTGTGCTCCTGCTAGCCAAGAAAGAAGGCTGCTACCTCCTAGAAAAAGACACTCAGACTATTTCTGGAAATACAAAGAAAGATAAGTGAGAATCTCTGTAGTCTTACCACCTATTTCAAAGAGATTCTGGGTTTGGATTTCTCTTCCTGGATTATCTGTACTTGTGCTTATTTTGCATAATCAAAATATACATCTAATTTTGCATTTTTCTATATAATGTTGCCACTATCGATCTGAACTACCTTTATAGAATGCTTATACTTAATTAGTAATTTCCTTTCTCCTTTTAATCTTTTATTTTTTTATTAGCACGTGTTAATTGTGTATATTAATGGGATTCAGTGTGATACTTCCCCATGTACATTGTGCACTGGTCAAATCCAAGCCTCTGGCTTCAGTTCCCAGCACCACACACACAAATGTCAGATTTTTCTCTCCTTTTTGTATTATAAGTTACTCCCAGTATTTTGCCATTACAAATAAAGCTGTAATGTCTAACTTTGTACCCTCAATGTATTTTGTCTTATTGCTTTAAATTATTTTGTGATAATTTCCTCAGAATTGGATTTTTTTTTTCAGAATTGGAATTTTGGGACTATATCTTTTTACTCTGTACATTGTCATAAACAATGTATATAGATTGTACTGCCTTCCCAGTGTTGTACATAGGCATTCTACTAAAATGTCAATAAGAGAAAACAATGGTACCATGATTTACTTTGCATTTCTTTGAAATCTGTGTAGAGTCTCAGCATGTAGTTCAGGCTGCCCTTGAACTCACTATGTAGCCCAGACTGGCCTCAAATTCATCCTCCTGCCTCAGTTTCCCAAGTGCTGGGTTTGCATTACCACATGCTGCTTGACTGAAATTTTAACATTTTTTCCAAATGTTTAGTTTCCTACGTTGCTGCTTCCTATTAAAGACTCACATTTTATGTGATTACAGGCGAGATATCCTCTTTGACTATGAGCAGTATGAATATCATGGGACATCTGTAAGTATGAATAGGTGCAATTCACCATAAACATCTGACTGTAGCAATCAGTGTCCTAAAACATGAGGAGAGGGCTTTTTAAGTTAGAAAATGTCTCACAGTGTTGCCTAGGCTGACCTTGACTGCCTTTTTTTTTTTTTTTTTTTTTTTAAAACAGTCTTGCTATGTAATTCAGACTGGCCTTGAACTCATGGTGATCTTCCTTCCTCGGCCTTTTGAGTGCTGGGATTACAGGCACGTGCCAGCACGCCGGCTCTACATTTTTTAAAGATCATACTGGCTTTTTAAAAAAATTCTATAATATATCAGTACTTTATTCCATAAAATAAACTTTTAAAATTTTGATCTTTTTCTGGGCTAAGGACATGTTTTGGCAATGCTGAGCAGTGACAGTTGTACAGAACTGTTGTAATAAGAAACAACAGTTCTGTATAGTGTTCTGGGCTGCTAGGCTCCGTTGTGGGGTAGATTAGGTATACTGAGTCATTTTTCAGCTTATGATACTTAAAATTTCTGGTGGGTTTATCAGGATGTAGCCTCATCATAAATTGAGCAGCATCTGTAATTGTCATTTCAGAGGCAGTTTTTAGGATGGTCCCATGCATTCAGTATGTGCTTGGAAAGCAGCAGCTAGTATTTTTTGTCCATCAGTAATTTAGAACAAATCTGTATTAATCTCTGTACAAGAAGATAAAATTCTAGACTCGGGCACATCTGTATGTGTTTTATGGAGTAGAATTCAGTATAGAAAACTTAGTGTATTAACTCTGTGAATGTTCAGCAGAGTTCAAGGCCTTAAATAGCTTAGAAAATTAAGTTTCCAATAAAATATCCTATATTAGAATATGATCCTTGGACCTTGAATTTTGAGCACTATATTTCCCATGTTTTCTTTATTCTCAGGGTTCCATTGTCCTTTGAAGGATCTTCCACTGGGCCTATCTGCTCATCCTTCCAAACAAAATTCTAATCAGTGTATAGTGAGGGTGTTAACATTTACTCAGATGAGATGCCCCCCCTCCAGGTACATATGTGAATACTTTCCTTGAAAACCATCTCTTGGAGGAAGCTCAGCATCTCCTCGCTCAGGGGACTAGTCTGCTGATCACACACCTATTTCCCCTCATGATCTAGGAAATCCTCTGATCACATGTTGCTGAATACATCCATCTGTATACATCCTTGCTTGGGAAGACCATCTTCACAAGGATCCCTAGGCCCTTCCCACTTTTGGAGGGGCTGTTTTTAAGACAGGGGCTTATTATACTGTCTAGGTTGGCCTCTAACTCCCTTTGTAGCCCATGGTGGCTTAAAACTCACACTCCTGCCTTAGCCTACTGAGTGCTGAGATTGCAGAATGCACCCCTATGCCTGTTTCATATGTGGGGGGGTTCTCTTTTTGTTTTGGAAATTTGGGGGTATTTGTGATCAAACCCAGGACCTTGTGCAACAAGCCTTCCACCACTAAGCTACATCCCAAGCTCCTCTCTTTAATATACAGGTAACTTACCAGGTCTGTGTCTTACCTGATCCTGGGAATTTTTTTTTTTTTTTTTTTTGTCTTTTTCCTTTTTACCGGTACCAGGGATCAAACTCACTACTGCCTGCTTACAAGGCAGGCGCTTATGCCGCTGAGCTAAATCCCCAGCCCCCATGGGAATGTTTTTAAGACTGACAGTGGAGTCCCCTGACCACCAGGTGTCAGCACCTGCCTTAGGCATCACCAAGGGACCCTGTGAGATGTATAGCTGTCAGTGTGCCATGCTTGGGCTTCCCCTTGTGTGTAGTTTCTTCCCATTTTTCCCTTCCCAAATGAAATACATAGATAGTAATGACTTGAAATAGCAGAGAAAGTGTATGTCAGCTAAATTGTTTGCAGCCTTCCTCCTGTTGCTTTAGTGTGGGTTAGTTTCTCATGTCTGGCTAGAATCTACTGCCCTGCAGGGCCTCAGCTTGGGGGCATTTGGCCCAGCTCCATTTCCCTGCCACAAGCACAGCCATATTTGCCCTCAGGTTTCTATGCTTTCTTACAGTCAGCCATGGTGATGTTTGACTTGGCATGGATGCTATCCAAGGACCTGAATGACATGTTGTGGTATGTAGCCCCCACACAGAGTAAGTGTTGGGAGTCCTGTTATCAGCCCCTGTCAGCCCCATATGGGCCTCTCTTGAATCCATTGTAAATATCAGATACAACATCTGTCTGGGATCGTGGCTGACTTTGGTTTCCCTGTGAAGTTCTTGGTGCTTCATACAAACTCAGGGAGCACATAGTAGGGCTCAGGTGTACCTTCATCTTTCCCACCCATACTGCTTAGCCTTGTGCTTGGTAAGCAACCAAAGGGGCATAAGATATGAATGAGACAGTCCTTGCTAAGCTTTCTTGCAACCTTGGCATATGGTAAAGTATGATAAGAAAAACCAGCCCTGTAAGCTAGATGAGGTGGTATACTCCTGAAATCTCAGCTAGTTGGGAGGCTAAGGCAGGAAGATTATAAATTAGAGCCCAGTGTAGGCAACTTAATGAGACCTAAGGGATATAGCTCAGCGGTAGAGCACTTGCTTAGCATATGTGAAACCCTGAGTTTAGTTCATACTGTAAACAAAGAGGAAGAGAGAAAAAGAGGGAGGGGATGAGGGAGAGAGAGACAGAAAGAAAACTGTCCCCACATCTAATTTCTCTGGGCAGACTGCAGGCAGGGCCTTTGGCAGACAGATCAGTAGACTTAGGCTCATTGTTTTCACCTTATTTTGATCTAGAAAAATAGTTTACAGTCTTTTTTGGGTGATGAGAATGTGAATCTGGCCTGGCTCTACCACCTTGGTCCTCTGCTCAGGGTTCTGGTTTCCTTTTGTGCAAAATGACATTCTACTGTGACTGCTCCTGGCTCTGACCACCCACAGTGCTGATTGTAATGCTCTTCATGGAATTAGGGCCTCAGGATTCTCTGTCTGGGGTTCTCTGCCTCGATGTGAGGATTCTGGTCTTTGTCCTATGCCAATCCTCGGCTCTCATCCCTCTACATGAGCCACCTTGCTGTGTACTCACCAACTGTTCTGAGTCAGATCTTAGTCTCACAGCCTGAGATTCTCCTCTGCAGTATGGAAATTGTAAACCAGGGGACTAGGATCAGAGTCCTGTTTCAATAGCTCTGCTGTAAGGTCAGTAAGGTAGGAGCGCTGTAGCCATGACACAGCACCTGACTGCCATGTTGTTTTGACTTCTCCCCCAGCTAAGTTAGGGTTCCCATACCAGAGTTACTAACATTCTGGCCCTACCCAAAAATAGAGGGGAGCTAGATGTTTACAGTGTAGTTTTCATGAATCACCTCTTTTACCCGGCAGACAGCCTAATACCTACATATCTGATTTGTGACCAGGAGCCCCTTACACAGGAAACTTGTTTATACTGACAGATGTGTTGGTGGCTCTTATCTGACCCATGTACAATTTATGCCTGCCTGACTATTGTTCTTGTACTGGGAGCCCAAACTTGTATATGCTCTGACATCCTGGGGAAAACCTGGCCTGGGATAACCCGTGATTTTTTGTATGGAAGGTGCAAACGTAATGTGTCAGCACAAGAAAAAATAAGTGCAAAGATTATTGTTTATGGATCCTGGACAGGGATTCTGGATCAGGATCCATACCGGCAAGGTGCACCTAGGAACATTGAACCTGCGTGCCCCATCCCGTCTCCTAACTCCATACTATAGGCCTCTTCAAGCCTGGGTGGCTGCAGCTAGCTCCATCATCTTCTTTACTTCCAGGTGGGCCATCGTCGGACTGACGGACCAGTGGGTACAAGACAGGATCACCCAGTAAGGACACATACTTTTGCTTTTTGGGGTCAGCCCCTTTACAGTGACGAAGTGACAACAGTGTCATTTGAGTTTGCAGTGGGGAGATTGGAAACAGAGGTACTGTAAGGCCCTATGGAGGAATGATAGGGGCTGGCCCTCCTTGGGCTTGACTCTTATAATAAAGGAGGGCCCAGTACCCAGACCTTTGCCAATGACTGTGCCTGCTTTGGCATCTTCATCACCCTGTGGAGTCCACTAGGTGGAGCTGTCACTTGGAGGAGAGAGCACAGTCTCCCATATTTTTTGGTGGAGTCAGGGTAGGGGACCAGGAATTGAACTCAGGACCTTGTGCTTGCCAGGGAAGTACTATGCTGCTGAACTGTGTCCCTGGCCCCTAGACTTCCCTATTCTTGAGTAGAGCTTAGAGGTAGGTGCTAGGGGCGTGGTGCATGCATGGTGGGAATTAAGGGGACGTCCAGAAGGAAAGGAGAGGGAAGAAAGTGTGGGAGTAGAAGTAGGAGCCCTAGGAGTCCTGCCTGGAAATGCAGGTTTGATCACGAAGGCAAGAGGAAGGCTCTAAAGGATTTTGAGGAAACTGGTATGAAAGTCTCTTTTTTGTGCACCATTGACTGTCAAGGTTCCCTTCTTTTAGATTCTGACCAGGAGCTGAAAGGCTGCCCCAATGTAATACTACTGGGGAGGGCACAGGACTTTGAACAGCACTGTGTGGCATCTCCCATTTCCTTTCCCTCACAAAGCACCTCAACCTTCTGTGGCCATGAAGTGGCACATCTAAGAACTGACAGGGACATCAACCCTGAGGAACTAACCCTGTTCCAGGAGACCCATATAGATGTCTCTGAGCTGTCACCCATCATAGTTTCCACAGGTCACTACACTCCTCATGCAGTTTGTGCAGACTTTCGTGTGCCTCCCCAGGTCCTGCCTCCCCTCCCCTGTTCCTGCCCTTATCTTTCTGAGTGGCCCAAGGATCTTGAGGTGCCTGAATCTCTGACCTGGGGCCACTGTCTGGATTGCCATGTTGCTACAGCCTGCTGCCTTGCTGTTAAGGATAGCACAGGGCACATGTGTGGATAACACAAGACCTAGAAACAGCAAGGCATGTAGTAGCAGGTGCCATCTCTGGGTTGTGGTCTCAGGTGAGGCCTCGTAACCATCCTGAGTGGTTACTCTTTGGGATCTAGAACACTGCCCACCCCTACCGTGCTTGGCACTATCTTATGTGAGTCTGCACCTTCTGCTATTTAGATTGCTGCCTTATATGGAGTCTGTCTACTTGACTATGCAGGCTGGTAGGCCTGACTCTGCCTCCACAATGTCTGTTCATCAGGGAAGATGGTGAGGACAGAGCTTGTTCTGCCCAGTTGGGGCCATTCACATTCCCCAGCTACTTAGTTTCTATGCAGGAGGTCACCAGGCTTCTGTAGTCTTCTGTAGCCTGAACGGTGGATAACCCCTAGGTGCAGGAGGTACTGCCCAGCCTGGAGTGCTTTCTTTCCAGAATGAAGTATGTGACTGATATTGGCATCCTGCAGCGCCATGTGTCTCGGCACAACCACAGGAATGAAGATGAAGAGAATACCCTTTCTGTGGACTGCACACGGATCTCCTTTGAGTATGAGTATCCTTGCACATCAGGCCCTTCAGGTACAGGCAGTGTTTGGCTCAGCAGGTGCTGTTTGCTTAGTTCTTGTGTGCAGGCTCCCACCCTTGTTCCCTTGTAGTGTATGCCTGCTTTTCTCAGAGCTATGTATGGGTAGGGTGGAAAACTGCTGAGATGAGCATGGAAGATGGCAGCCCGTGAGGGCCATAGTCAAGTAGGGAGAGGTCAGCATTGAGGACAGAACACACCAGAGGAGCAGTGGCAAGGTGCCAGTGTGACTGTAGGAAATAGGCAGGGTGAGTCTGAATGCTGTGGAGGAGAGACCTATTGTGGGACTTGTCAGCACTCACAGCTTTGGTCACGGGGACATGGGTGGTGAAAGGCAAGTTCAAGGAGAGGGGTTAGCATGGGAGGGCTTTGTGGTATCCTGTCTTTTTCCTTTTTTATTGGTACCAGGGATCGAACTCACAACTGCCTGCTTCCAAGGCAGGCACTTATGCCACCGAGCTAAATCCCCAGCCCTGACTTTGTGGTATGCTGTTGGAAGGCACTTGGAAAGGACAGGTGGTAGCTGGATTGCAGTAGGTGCAGTAGGAGTGGGCAGGATAGTATGGCAGCCTGAGCTAGGAATTCCCAGCCTTCCACCTTCTATGTGGCTATTGCTGCTCTCTCTGACTGCAGTAGAGGACCCTGCAGAACTCCTGGACTTTGTTTTCTCTAGCAAAGAGGGAAAATGGTGTGCACCCATAACCTCACAGTCTTTCTAGATGGGTCAAATTGCTCCTGTTTGTCCTTGTTCAACCTGGTTGTACAAGCAAGGCAGGCCCAGAGAACACAGCAGGCCATCTGCTGAAAACTGAGTGAGGCTGTGGCCTGCCCAGGTCGTGGGTCACTATGCAGCTCCAGATGGATATCAGGCATCACATTTGTTCCTTGATGTTGAACCCAGCCTCTGCCTGGCTCTCTACCACCACTGGTCCCTCTATGATAGTCTGTGCAATACCTGCTACACCGCAGCCAGGTTCAAGCTCTGGTCTGTGGATGGGCAGAAGCGGCTTCAGGAATTTCTTGCAGACATGGGGTGAGTAACTACCTGGGCCTGCAGCCCTCCACCTTCCCAGCTTCCTATGGAGATGCCCTTCTGCTTTGTTGTGACTACAGTGACTTACAGGGTTGTAAAATGCAGCTGCTACCCATTCCTCCATCACTTCCTCCTCTCCAGATCTGAGAATGTCATCTGGTAAATATGCTAGGTCCACAGGGTTGGTGAATCTATGGCACATGTATTATTATTTGTGTTTCTCCTAAAAGATGTTAATGTATGAGTTTTTTGTTTGTTTTCTAAACTGAAACCTCAGTATATAGGTTTTATTGCAGTGTCAGGTTTTTGTGATAAATAAGTGGGTTTTAGTCTGGACATTCATCTCTAAAAGCTTTGCCATCACAGTGCTAGGACATCCCTCCATGGCCCACATGGTCACAGTGCTTGTAGCTTCTTTCTTTTTTCTTCAATATCTCTACAGTCTCATTCACGTGACTTGTACTTACTCTTTTCAGGCTTCCCCTGAAACAGGTGAAGCAGAAGTTTCAGTCCATGGACATCTCTTTGAAGGAGAATTTGCGGGAAATGATTGAAGAATCTGCAAATAAATTTGGGTAAACACATTTGTTTCTGGGATAAGCTGTTTTAACATTAGGGCTTCTACTTTATACTCATAAAATAATATAAAAATAAATTAATAACTAAGATTGTACAAGTGAGCATGACTTGAATTCGATCATTCCTGAATATTTGTCTTCTCTTTGAGTTAAAAAACTGACCTTGTTCAAATGCCTATAAACCTTAGGACCCATGAGATCGAACCAGCCCCTTTCTCTGACAGGAAGTGGGCCACCAGGGCAGGTGTAGGTGAGCTCTGTCTAACCAGCTCCTTGGGCACCACTGAAGGTCTTGTGCCTGGCTGCTCTTGCCCTACCAGCTGGTGTGCTGGGGTAAAGGCGAGGAGCCTGCCTATATCGTGGCCCTAACAGCTGCTGTGACTGGGTGTCCTGACCCACAGTTTCCTCTGACTAGTGTCATAATGAGACTATTGCTGGGGATCTATGAAGGACCTTAGGGCATCTGCTGGCCTGATGTAGCCAAGGGGGCTCACTCATGACTTGAGGGTGACAGCCACACTGCTTCCTCTCGTGACAGGATGAAGGATATGCGTATACAGACTTTCAGCATCCATTTTGGTTTTAAGCATAAGTTCCTGGCCAGCGACGTGGTCTTTGCCACCATGGCTCTAATGGAAAGCCCTGAGAAGGATGGCTCCGGGACGGATCACTTCATACAGGCTCTGGACAGTCTCTCCAGGTAGTAGGTGTGGCCAGGGACTGCAGTCCCCTTCAGGCTGCCTCTGGTCCTCAATCTCACATGCACAGGGAGGCTGGTTGTGGGGAACTTCCTGGGTGAGACAGTAATAGTCCTACAGAAACAGCAAGTGTGAATCAGGGTCTAGTACACTGCCTGTCTGTCTCCAGTACAGGATTTGTCACTCTTGAGTCCTTTTCATGTCTTTTTAACTTAAAAAAATTTCTTTTTTTCACTTTCTATATCTCTTAGTCCTTGTGTGCAGGCCCCCACCCATGTTCCCTGTAGGGAATGTGCCTGCCATTCTCAAAGGGCATCTGGGTTAGGAAACTACTAAGATTTTTTTTTTTTTTTGTACCAGGGATTGAACTCATGACTTCATACTTGCCAGGCAGGCGATTAGACTGGTGAGCTAAATCCCCAGCCCCTAAAACTACTAAGATTTAAAGCAGAGAAGATGACATTCTTGTTCCTTCTAATTCATTTTTCTCTTCTCAATTCTTTGATTTCTAATCCTTTCTTCTCTTACTTCCTGAAATAATCCCTGTTATTTTTCCCCATGCTCTTAGAGTACCATGAAATAAATATGCCAGTTTTAATTTTGGGGGGGACACGTTTTATCTTTCTAAAATTTACTTAATTTGTTTCAAGACAAAATTTTGCTATGTAGTTCAGGGTGGCCTTGAATTCACAGTGTTGTCAGGTTGGCCTATCAGCAATCTGCCCATACCCCTTAGCCATCATCTCTCAAATCCTTCATCCCTCTCGGCCCTAGGCAACCACTTCTATAGATTTGTTCTTCTGGACCTTTGATGTAAGTGGAGTTGTATGATGTGTGGCTCTTTGTATCCATTTCTTTCATGTAATAGCATTTACAGTGTTCATCTGTGTTGCAGCTAGTGTCAGGATTTAATGCCTTTTTACTGTAAATAATTCATTAGATATACCATTTTACTCACCAGTTACTTTTTGATAGACATGAGTTGTGGCTATCTTTTGACTATTATAAATAACACTGCTGTAAACTTACATGTACGTATAAGTTTTTGTGTAGTCATCTTTGCATTTCTCTTGGTTACATTTCCAGTAGATTGTGTAGATAGTTACTCCAGGTTTAACTTTCTGAGAAATTGCCAGACTGTTTTCCGTAGACTGTACCATTTTACACTCCCACTGCAGTAATGTGAGGGTTCTGACTTCTTTACATCCTTACAAATACTTATTGTCTGTGTTTTAGATTATAACCATCCTAGTAAGTGCAAAGGCATGTCTCACTGTGGTGTTTGTTTGTTTGTTTTTTGAGACAAGGTCTCTCTATGTAGCCCAGGCTGTCCTTGAACTCACACCAACCTCAGTCTCCTGAGTGTTGGGATTAATAAGCACGAGCCTCTACTCCTGGCTTCTCACTGTGGTTTAGATTTGGATTTTTCTCACTGGCTAATGGTATCGAGCATATTCTCAAGTGTTTATTGGCCATGCATAGTATTTTCTTTGGAAGTTAGTTCAAACACTTCACCTATTTTTTTTTTGTCAGTACCGGGAATCGAACTCACAACTGCCTGCTTGCAAGGCAGGTGCTTATGCCGCTGAGCTAAATCCCCAGCCCCTTTCTTCACCTATTTTTAAATAAGGCATTTGTCTTTTCTTTCTTATTGAGTTGTAGGACATTTTTTTACATATTCTAAAGAAAAGTCCCTTATGATACATACACACACACACACACACACACACACATACATACATATATATATATATATATATATATATATATATATTTTTTTTTTTTTTTTTTTTTTTTTTTGTACCAGGGATCGAACTCACAACCTTGCGCTTGCTAAGCAGGCATTTATGCTGCTGAGCTAAATCCCCAGTCCCCAGATACGTAATTTACAAATATTTTCTCCCATCATGTGAGCTGGCTTTTTCGTTTGATCACTAATTTTGGTGATAACTAGATTATCCATTATTCTTTTGTTTGTTGTGCTTTTTGGTGTCATACCTAAGAACTATTGCTTAATCTAGGGTCACAAAAAATTTTACATTATGTTTTCTAAGAATTTTGTAGTCTTGTACACCAGGTGGGAAAAGGTGGTATTCCAATGAGGTAATGGAGACTTCACTCTTCCCTGCCACCCCATGGCTTGTTGTTTGTTAACTTCCATCACAGTAAAAGAATTTCAGGACACATCAGTGTGAGGCATAGAGGGTTTTATTAGCAGAGTTAGAAAGTAAGGAACAAGAGGAAAAGACTTCAGCTTGAGTAAATCTTAGAGGGGGCCCACTTTTTTTTTCTTTTTATAAAAACAAGGTCTCACTTTGTAGGATAGGCTGTCCTTGAACTCACTATGTAGCCCAGGCTGGTCTCCAACTCGCTATGATCCTCCTGCGTCAGCCTCCAAAGTGCTGGGATTACAGGGTTGCTCCACCATGCCCAGCAGCAACGTAAGAACAACATGTTTAAGGATTAGCAGTGGGCCAGGGTCTGGTCGATCCCTTTCTCAGTTCTAGAGCTCCAGAGGAATCCTCATGGCTTGGGGGGTGATTTGGTCCTGTGGGATGATTACTTTGCTTAGGAGGGTGGTCTCATTGTGGAGTGGTCTATGAGGCTCCACTTTTCCTGGAAGTCAGATGGCTATGGATTTAGGACAATGGCTGTAGACTTCTAGGCATTGTTCCAGGAAAGTCTGAAATGGGGTTATGAAAGCTGGCACTTAGGTGTCCCTGAAAATTAGTTACTTTATCTTGGTGCCCTTAGTCATAAAAGAGGATAAAATAGATTAGGTAAATTTAGGCTTGAGAAACTTTGTTTTGTCCACTTTTCCTAAATGTCTAACATTTCTTTGTGCAAAGCTGAGCAGTAATCATAGCCAGTTTTAAGGTAGTAAGGAAACAAAAAATTGAGTTTCCAGCTGGGCATGCTGGTATATTTCTATAATCCTAGCACTGTAGGAGGCCAGGTGTCCAGCCAGGGTAACCTCGTGATTTAACAAGAACCTGTCTCAAAATTTAAAAAGAAAGGGCTGGTGCTGTAGTTCAGTGTGAAGGCCCTGTATTCAATTTCTTGTACTGGAAAGGAAAAAAAATTTTCTTGTCTCCTCTTTTTTGGTCTTTTTGAGTTTGCTATGGGGTTCAAGGCTAGCCTTGAACTTAGTTTATAGCCCAAGCTGGCCTCAAACTGATATAGGAGAATGAAACTCCTGTCCTATCATATGTCAGGCACGAGTTCATGTTCTCTAAAATCACAGAATGAATTTTAGGAACAACGGAGCTAAGAGCAGGAATATTTATTGAGAGAAAGCTTCTGTCTGAGAGAGATAGAAGGAGTAGATTGCCAAAGATTCTGTATTTTCTCAGGATTTTTATAGAGTAAAAGCATGAAGTGAGGTGGGTCTAAGGTGGGGAAAACTGGGAACTCGCAAGGTAGACGGGCATGAGGTGAGACAGAGAGCTATGGTCATCCAGTAAGTCTAACTGTTCAGGTAAAATTGACCAAATCAGGGACAAATGGGGAAGTAAGTCGCATAGCAATCGAGCATTCTTTATGGATCAGTGACTCTTCCTGTAGGGCGATGGGATGGTGACTCCTGGCTTCTCAAGGTGATCCAGACTTAATCCAGATTATACTTAAGGGTGTAATTGCATTTGTTTTGCCTCCTGTCTTGAGATTTGGCCCACAGCAAGAGATGTGTGTCTCCTCCAAGGTCACTAGACATCGGGTCCTCGGTGCCAGCTTCTTTGAGGGCCTATCCCTGTCTGACTGCCTGTATTTTTAATATTATAGCTCCCTGTAATAAAACCACAGTGATCCTCTTGTCTCAGCCTCCCAAGTGCTAGAATGACAGTTGTGCACCACCACATCTGGCCTTCCTTGTCTCCTTTTTAACTGTCTTTATTTTTTCTATCCTACCTCAGTTTTAGTTATTGCATTTGGTATGATTCACTTGAGGTTAATTTTTGTGTTTATTGTAAGGAAGGAATCCATTTTAATTCTTTTGCATTTGCATACCTACTTGTCCCAGAACCATTTTGAAAAAATTAATTTGTCCCCCTAATTGATGGAGCCCACTACAAAGCAGCTCTGAACAGGATTTAAAATTAAACCAACTGGCTTTTTGTGTTTACCTGTGAGTCTTTCCCAGGCCTAAGCCCCTTGTCTGGAGATGGGCAGTGGATTCATAGTAAGTGAACCTCTATGAATCACTGACCATGGTTGAGGCCTGTAATGGCCTTTGATGCCAGTGTTGCTTCAAAGGGCAAGATAATGCCATAGCTGAAGACTCCTGGCTCTATCCCCAGTTAACTAGATAGAGATTGCAGCTATAGGTGTCTCACTCCTGCTGTAACAGTCCTGCCGTAAATGTCAACCTAAAGATAGGACAGTTCGCCTGTTGGCATAATTTACTGCCTGCAAATCTTTAACTCTCAAGGTCCTGTGTAGTTCCTGCACTTTCCTCAGTATCCCCTTTTGTTTAAAAACTAGATAAACACTGACCACCCAGAGAAGTTCTTTGTCTCAGCCTCAAAGTCTCCTAGAGGGTTTTGATCCTTCTGGAGCCCTAAAATCATACCACTTGTCTCATTTATTTAAGCCTTCGCCATCCACTCGTTTGGGAGATTGGGGGTCTGGGCCAGGTCCCCAGGTCTGGGGATGTAGCTCAGGCCATTCCTAACTGGGCTATTTAGGATGGCTACTCATTGTCACCATAGATGTCCCTTGTCTGCATCTCTATAATTAGAGACAGCATTTCTTAACATTTTTTGTCTTTGTTTCATTCATTCCATCATTTTAGTAGAATTCAACACTCAACTGATTTTCAAAGAAAGCATGAACATAAAGTAAACTTTCCAAGTTCTGTGTCTGACAATATCATTTTTCTGTGCTCATCTGATTTCTGATTGAGCTCATGCAAAACTCAAGATTGAAGGAGATTTCTGGAGACTGTAGATTCCATCGTGCCCTTGTCTTCCAGCAGCCAGTGCTGTTATGTGAATAAGAAGTCTGGGCCATATTGAGTCCTGTTTCTTTGTAAATGCATCACCTCAACCCTACCTGCAGAAGTGTTTAGGATCTCCTTCGTGGTTTTCAGTATTCAATAATTTTGTAGTGCTCTGTCTAGGTACGTTGTGTTCCATGCATTTCACTATATTCTCAGAGGACCCTTTCAATCTGCAGACCCAAGTCTTGCAGTTGCAAAAGTGCTTTTTTAACTATTTATTTACTAAACACCTCCCTACACACACACACACACACACACACATTGTGTATGTAAATATATATATATATATATATTTTTTTTTTTTTTTTTTTTTTTTTTTTTTGTACTGAGGCTCAAACATTTCACGATTAATTACCAGGCAAGCACTTGAGCCACTGAGCTGAATTCCCAGCCCTCTTATATTTTGGCCTTTCAATTTCTATGTCTTTGTTTTGTTATAGACATTGAGGAAGGTTTTCTTGACTTTTCCTCTAGGTTTTGCTTGAATATTTTATTTTTTGCAATTTTTTAAATTTTCACCTACACTTTCCTAGTTTCTGATGGTTCCTTTTTGTAGACTCCTATAAGATCTTGACTTGGGAATGTAATAGCTGCCCAAATCTCTGAAAATAGTAGATTTCAAGTTTCTTTTATTTTCTGAATTATGTTTCCCAGGATCATTTTTTAGGCCACAGGTGTTTCCCCAATAGTCTGGTGTCTTTTTTATTCAGGAAGGGGCTGTGGAATCTTGGCTGAACTCTGGGTATCTGGGCACAACTTGCTGGGCAAAAACATCGCTTCATCCTGGCAGGCAGGCTGCCAACTATAATATATTGGCTCTCATAACTGCTGGGCATAGAAGCTGTGCTAGAAGGCTCCTACTTTAGAAGTTTCTTTCATGTATTCACAGGGGAGCCTTGCCTTTTGGAGAGGAAGAATAAATGTCTATCGGTTAGATGGGGAAGTCCTCTATGCTGTCCCTCTCCCCTGCCCAAGCCTCCCCTGTCAGAGCCTTCCAGGTATCTTCCTGTGACCTCCTTTGCAGGATCTTCAGTCTTCCATTTTCTGATGCCAGCACCCCTTTCCATATCTCATTTTTATCATTCTGGGTTTAAACTTATTTTTTATTCATTCCTTTCATGTGAAAGGGAATTCAAGAGGAGAGAAGATAAACTCTTATTCCCACATCTCTTCCTGAACCAGGAGCCAAGTGATCTGTTTGTGACTTAGATATTTTACCAAGAGTTCCTGACAAGCAGTGTCTAAGGGGAATGTCTGCCCTGTTACAGGAATAACCTGGACAAGCTGTACCTGGGCCTGGAACTTGCCAAAAAGCAACTGCAAGCCATCCAGCAGACCATTGCCAGCTGCCTCTGCACCAACCTTGTTGTCTCCCAGGGGCCTTTCCTATACTGCTCCCTCATGGAGGTCAGGCTTCCCTTGATGCGTATGTACTAAGCCATGCCCACCAGTGGCCTCCGCTGACCTTTGTCTCCCTGTCCTAGGGCACTCCAGATGTTGTGCTGTTCTCCAAGCCAGTATCCCTGAGCCTGCTCAGCAGACACCTGCTCAAGTCCTTTGTGTATTCGGTGAGGAGAAAGGCGGGTGGGACGTGGGTGCAGGAGGGCAGATGCTTGGTGAGTGCTCTGAACCAGGTGTTAAGATAGTATCCTATATAGAGGTACCCATAGCTGTTCACCAGCAGTAGGGGCTTGGTAATATCCCTTGTGTTTTCTGAACTGTACTTTCCTCAACTGACCTCTAGGAGCCTTCTGGTTTCCCACAAGTCCTGATTACATCATTTGCTGTCCCAGTGGCTCAAAAAGGTAGAATGAGGCCTGCACAGAGTAGTGGGGCTGGGGCTTATGTTCAGAGATGGCAGAGCAAGAAAAGATGGAGTTGGTTATAATACTGACTTGTTTCCTAGCAAGTTTGTGTTCTAGGCTAACTTTCTATGTGTGAGTTTATCTTTTATATGGTCTAACGTGCTTCTTTGCCTTGGCTTGGAATACAGCCCTAATTCAGCAGGTATTTAGTCAGGGATGTGTGCAAATACTACACTATTTATTTTATTTTATTTTATTTTGGGAGGTGCTGGGAATTGAACTCAGGAACTTGTGCTTGCCAGGCAGGTGCTGTGCCACTGAGCTAAAAAATCCCTGACCCGTTATACCATTTTATGTAGGTGATATGAGCCTCTTAGGGCTTAGTATTCGTAGGAGTGCTGAAACCAATCCTCAGTGGCTACAAAGGGATTACTATATTGTCAAAACATGAACTTAGGGTCAGACATGACTATTGAAGTCTTCTAGGCTTAGTTCAAGTCTTAGCCTCCTCATTTGTCAGTTGTGTGATATGAGGTAGATTATCTGATTTTTGAGTCTCTGTTTCCCCTTCCACAAAATGAGTAAAGAAATATCCACTTCACAGGATCCATTCAATAAGACATTGAGTAACTACCACCTGTTAGACCATTTTTATAGAGTGACCTGCCCTCCCAGTTTGCTCCTCAGTCCCACACAAATCAGGATATCTAGCCAAATTGGTTGAAGAGTGTGGGGGTTGTGGGTTCAGCAATGAGGAAAGCACTCAGTCTCCAGCCTGAGAGCGTGTGCATGCAGTTTTAGATAGTGGCTCACACAACAGAGAGAAAAGAACAGGGCAAGCACAGGTTCTGGAGGAGGTGACAGCTGCAGCAGGACCTGAAGGAGGTGATGGAACAGCCCAGGCAGAGCCCCTGCAGGAACAGCCAAGGTGCCTGAGGCTGATCAGTAAGAGGAATCTGGTTCCGAAACATCACACGGGGACTCTAGCATCTCCTTTGGTGATGGGCGGTCTCTGGAGGATTTTGGGGAGTAGCCTGACACAGTTGTGGATCCTGGGTCCTGGATAGTGTGTGCTACCCACAGAGCTGGATCTGACTATGCTGTAACTGAGGGTGCCCTTATCTCTGCAGAGAAAGAACCGACGTTGCAAGTTGCTGCCTCTGGTGATGGCCGCTCCACTAAGTGTGGAGCAGGGCACAGTGACCATGGTGGGCATTCCCCCAGAGACCGACAGCTCAGACAGAAAGAAGTGAGCAGCTACCACTTACCTGAGAATTAAAGACATGAGAGAGCTTTGGGTGTATCTGCATGTTGGCCCATCAGCCCTTTGCCTGAGTTCATGGATGTTTGGCCTTCAGTGTCAGGGGGAAGGAAGGGTCCCATGGAGGAGGTCTGGGCTCTAACATGTCTATCATGTGTCTGTAGTTTTTTCGGAAGAGCGTTTGAGAAGGCGGCAGAACGCACCAACTCCCGGACACTACATAACCGCTTTGATCTCTCAGGTGAGAGTTTCAGGTGTTTGGCCACGCTTTTTCCATCTTTCAGGGTCAGCCATGGAACTAGATAGGCTGGTGTCGATTAGCCCAGCCTGGCCAGCAGCCCTCTTGTTCTCCTAAAACTAGTCCCTGGCAAAGCTGCTCCCAGAGACTCAGGGAGCTCCAGCTCTGGCCTTGCAGCCCCCCAAGAAGATCAGAGCACTGGCTGTAGGCACCTTCGGGGCCCAGCCTTAACTCTTAGGATCATGTCCCCAGTGCCCTGATATGGGCAAGGAAACAGGGCTGCAGCAGCCTTAACATGCCACAGAGCTTGTGTCACTGAAAAGTCCTGCCTGAGGCTACAAAATGATCCCAGTATGAGGGCTTGACCCCCAGCCCCTCTTATGCACTGGGTGTACCCCACACATGAGAATGGGAGGATACAGACTGACAATAGTTTCCCCAGATGCCAGCCTGGAACATGGTCCATATTTAGATGCGTTTGTCTTTTATTCCTAACATTTTAAAGTAAAGCAGATTGACCACTTCTCCCACTGGATTGTGGTGGGCTGCAGAGCACATCCAGACTGGGTGGTTTACAGAGGTTATTTTCTCATAGCCTTCGAGGCTGGGTCCCTGAGTCCAAGATGTCTGTTGGGTTGCTTCCTTTCACAGCTGAACCTTGACTAGGTGGCTGTAGTCTCCCTGTAACCTCACATGGTTCTCCTTTGTGAAGTCCCTATTTCCAAATATAGTTACATTCTGAGGGAACAGAAGTCAGAGTTTCATCATGGGAGTTTAGGTGGCAAGTGCAGCCTATTATACCCTTCAGTATTTTATCTGCATTTCTCAGAAAGGGCCTTTTCCGGGCTGGGGATTTAGCTCAGCGGCATAAGCGCCTGCCTTGCAAGCAGGCAGTCGTGAGTTCAATCCCTGGTACCGATGAAAACAAAAAAGACAAAAAAAAAAAAAAAAAAGAAAGGACCTTTTCCATAGTACCTCCTTCCTGATTCTCTGTCCTGGGAGACTCAGTTTGTGTTCAGGTTGCCTTGGCTGCCTCAGAGCCTTCTTCCTTGTGCTAGAGCAGTTATGCTGTGGGATGTGTGGTATTGATCTCTCCAAGCAACAGGCCCTGCTTCCTGTTTCATCCCCATGATGTCGGAGAAATCAACTTTAGCTGGCCTGCAGTATACAGGAAGGCCCTTTATACAAGGGAGGATTTGGTGCTGGTAGTTGCCTGGTTTCTCATGAGGCCTTGAGAGCCCTGGGTGAGAAGTATAGAGTGAGCCATGATCAATACCTCCCTGAATGAGCTGATCAAGTCAAGCCAGTTCTGTTCCAGGGCCTGGTTTTGCCGTTTCATGAAGGTTCACATGGTTGCCTGAGCCTGATGGCTCTTCAAGATGCAGGCAGTTTGTATTGTGGCCCCTTCCACAGAAGACATTGAAGCCATGGTATTGGGCAGAGCAGGTTAAAGTGGGTTCTTGCCCCACCTTGGCCCTCTCACACCTTGGCCCCTACTCTAGGGGTAGGCATCTGCTGAGCACTGTGGGAAAGCCTAATTCTTTTCCAGCTGTGTAGTATTCTGAGTTGTTACATCAACCCCCTGTTAGCTGTCATTGCTAGTTGCTGGCTGCCTAGAGGGTCATCCCTGTAGGTCACAGTTCTGGCCTCTCCACCAGTGCAGCCAGCAGGAAGATGAACCCAAGTCATCTAGAATCTCCCAAGCTGTGGAAGTTCCTGCTCAGTATGGAATGCAGTTGAGGACTGTTCTCACTGAGAATGTCGGGAAGAGGGAGTACATGTGCCTTGCTTGTTTTTCTCACTCCCTTCTCAAAAGATGTTTTTCTTTCATTATTTCAGTAATTGAGCTTAAAACTGAGGATCGGAGCAAGTTCCTGGATGCACTTATCTCCCTGCTGTCCTGAGGGGTGAGCCTGTGAGGATGGGGGTCCTTGGGATGGTGGGCCAGCTGCCTCATCACAGGCCTATCCTGACTCTGGCTTTGATCCTTGGGTTTCAAATCAGAGCTGGATTCTTGAAATTTGGAGCCAGCACATTTTTTCCCAAGAGTGTCTGTCCTCAGGCTTCCTGCAGGGCCACAGTGGGGCATTTTTGAGGAAGCTAATTTCATTAAGCCTCTTTGATCCCTTTAGAAAGACTTGGCATTCGCTCTTCTCTGACTATACCACAGGGCTGGGCATTGTGTATGCAACATGTGCCATGCAGAGTCCATAGTGCTGCCCTCAGAGGCCACCTAGAGCCTCCTGCCCCCATAATCTTGTCAGGCCCCAGGCTAGAGCCCACAGAGCCAGCTACCAGGGCTTTTGTATGGAGACCCTGGAAAAACCACACTTCGCAGCTGCTTGGCTGCAAATTACAAAATGTCGGTTCTTTGTGAGGCACTAGCAGTGCACAGCTATGCTGAGAGGGCCATTGCAAAGTATGACAGGCACTGTTGCACAGGACACCTACTCAACCAGGCCCCCCCCACTACCCAGCCTGGTCCCCTCAGGAAATGGTAGAAGGGATCCTGCTCAGTGTGGCAGTCTCATCCCAGCACCTCCACAGTGACTTCACTCCAGCACTGCCTCTCCCTGAGCCCTAGGCTAGAGGCTGTTCGTGTTGCAGATGGCTCTGCCAAGATGCTGACCTGGGGGGTTCCCTCAGTACCTGTACCCCATCCATAGTGAATTGAAAGCTAGAGCAGACAGATACCAGAATGGCATAAAGGCGTGGGAGACAGGGGAAGACGGGCCGGATGGGGAGAGGCCTATACGAACCCAACATGAGGCTGCCTGGCCCACGAGCTACAGATAAAAGGGTGCTAGAGGCCCTAAGTATGTTCAGGGATATCACTCTGGTGACAATTGGACCTGGGCTGAGTGTGCAGTGAAGGCAGTGGGTATCTCAGTGGGTTTGGGATGATCCCCCAACCCCAAGTTGCCTGCCACTCAATAGCAGCCCTGTGCAATTTTTTACATTTGGGGAGATATCATAATTGTTTGCAACTTTTTTTTCTTTTCCAGAATTTGATTTCTTCAGAAGTGACTTCTCCTTATTTATATTACCTGGCTTTTATTTAGATTGTAAGTTATGGACAGTTTTAAATGCAGTGGCGGTGGTTTTAATGAAATAAAATGCTTCATTTAAATTCTGTTTCCCTTCATTGCTCTAGTCTTGAGGCCAGCGCTTGTGTATAGCCTATAGGAGAGCCATGGTCCTGTGCTCCCAGCACACTCCATACTGAATAGGAAGCACAAGAATGTGGTCTCCCAGTGGCACCCAGTTCTCTTCACAATCCCTCTACCAACCACTGCAATGCCACACGGGACTATTCTGTCTACCTGCCCATTGCTTCTTCCTGTCAGCTGGTCTTAACAGCAAGAGCCCAGCTGGCTGAGCAGGTCCTGGATGGAAGGCATTGTGTCCCCAGACCTTGTCATTGGTATCACCCACATCCTTCACAGAGGATCCAAATTGGTTGAGACCTTAGCAACCTCCACAGGCTTGGAACATCTAGAACTTTACAATCAGGGGAACCTTGAGTTCAGCTGTTCCACCCCTCCCGGATGTCCCCTGATCACCATGAGTGTGGAGGGGTTGGCAGGTGAGAAGAGTGTGGTTCCAGTGTTTCCTGTCCTCCCATGAGCTATTCCCTTGTGGCCACTTCCTGGGGACACAGGTGCTGGGAAAGCAGGTGAGTTGGAGGAAAGATCTACCTGTGAGGCTTTTGAATTGCTGGGGGAGGTAGTATGGGCACAGTCCTTGAAATTAGGAGTGATTTGGGCAGGTTTAAGTTAGTAGGAAAAGCCCACAAAGAGTGGTTCGGAAGTGAGGCCACATTAGGTGGGGCTGTCCTTGGAGAAAGGGCAGTGGACACTGGGGTTGTGGCTGTTAGAGACTGGCTTCTTACCCCAACCTCTTATGATGCCAATAGGTACCAGGTGGAGTTATCCCCTGCCCTTCCCAGCATGGGTCAGGTAGATGGTAACTTGCTCTCCAGGGCCTTCAAGTACCACTCTGGCCATTTGGAAAAGCTGTGAGTTAGCTGTGCAGGCACCTTGAATGTAGAGAATACTGGTGGGAAGGAACTGTGGGATGAGCTCCCCACCCGCAACTCCTAAAGCTCCTAGCTATATATCCTGGCTCCTGCACTACCCAGCCCCGGATGTATCGGATGTATCAGGGTCTTCTTTCTGGTCCCACCCAGGTCATGACTCCAGGATCACATGACCTAGGCTGGAGCTGCTCTTAGTCCCTGCATTCAGGCTGAGGTGGGGCTGCATTCAGCCCCTCCTGAGGACCTCTTCCTGTAGCCTATCCCATTGTTGGTCTTTAGGCCACTGAAGCACTTAGCCTCCTTGTAAGTCCCAAGTGCTGGCTCCCCCATGGGTTCGAGAATTTTCACAAGCCTGTATCCTGAGGGTTCTTTCCAATGATAGAAAACTTGGCCAGGGTTTGGGAGACTGCTACTAGATATGGCCCAGGTGTTTTTGAACAGATCCTCAAGGCTGGGGTTTGAGGCAGATGCCAAGCCTTCCTAATGGCTGACTTGGAGCACCTTGAAGCAACAGGTAAAAATGCATCAATGCAAAGTATGTATAACTGAGCTGGAAGCTGAACTCAGTGACTATAATAAATAGCTTGCACTCCTGGGAGCTGCCTTCTACTGGCTTTTACTTCCCTGGCCCCCAGTAGCTAAGTCAAAAGGGTGTTTCCAGTAGGGTAAGCACAGAGGTGCAGATGCCTGGCACCAGTCTAGGATGGGCACAGACCCTGGAGTCGTGCTGTAACTGGCAGAGGGGCCAGGACAAGGCGCTGGAATGAAGCCTGGGCACTCAGCAACAGGTTCCTCCCATGGCAACCCTTGACCTGCAGCAAGCTCTGCTAGAACCAGCTTGCATCCTGGATTCAGTCTTTCCTACCCCATTGTTGAAGAGAGCCTCTGGCTTTGTACAGATGCTGCAGTACTCAGAGCTAGGAAAGCCCAAGAAGGCAGGTGGAAACATCACCCTGTGGTATATGTGGGGGAGTGGGCCTTTCCTGGAAGAAGCTAGCAGCCTGGCTACCAACCCACACAGCCCTCCCTCTTCCCGAGTCCCTAGTAGCAAGTCCATGGGTGTCCAGCCTGGTCCTCTTATGAGGACTGCCTCTCTCTACCCCACCCCAACAAAACAGCATGGGACTCTTCCCACTTTACCGGGTTGCAGTGAGCTGTGTCTTCAAGTCTGATGGGAAGGCGACAGGGAGCAGGGAAGGCAGAAAAAGTTCATATTCTCCAGGGACTGCCACCCCTGAGAGATCTCTATAGGAATCTGGGAAGGAGTTGGCAGCTGAGTGGGTGAATGGGGGTGCTGGCATAGGGGTGACTGGACAGAGGACAGGACACAGTGGGAGTATTCAAGCTATTTACTAAACAAATTCTTAACCTCCCCAACCCCCTCCCCAAGCCTGGAGGAGGGCAGTGGCTCAGCTCCACTCAGGCTCTGGTGTCCACAAGCCTCACCTGGAGGGCTGCTGAGGTGACATAGGTCCAAGTGAAGTTACTTGGTGCCTTGGGTTTATGCCCCCGCTGAAAAAGAAAAGGCCCTTTATACACATCCTTCCAGCCTGGGGGTCCTGGGGTCTTCATCTACCCTCCCAAGTCTGTAGAAGGGCTGATTTAAAAAGGCAGCGTCCAAGACTGCTACCTCTCAGAGTCAAGAACAAAATTGGCATTTCAGTGGATGGAATTTGAGAGGTCCATCCACGTGGTCAGTGCTACCCAGAAAAGAAACCAAGTCCTCACAAGTGCTTGTCATTTGTGGAGGGCAGGGTGCGGGACAGGGCCTGGATGGTGGTAATCAGGTCGACTGAAGCTGCGGGCCGGTGGGATCCATACGCTGAGCCTGACATTTCGTGGAGTTTGTACAGGGATGTAACCCTGCCATCCACGCACAGCTCCCTGCGTCGCTGGCTTCAATTCGCGGGCTTTGCTGCCGGGAGGGGCCCCGCCGTACCCCGCCCCATCAGACATAGTTCTTCTTGTCGTAGTCGCCGCTGGTCGTGGGCCGCCGCGGTGCTGAGTACTTGACGGGAAAGCTGAAATCCGGGCGACCCGCACAGCCCCAGGCTCCGCAGCATACGAGGCCGCCACCACAAATGAGCAACGCAGAAGCCACCCACCCGATGTACAGCGCTGCGCCCAGTTCGTATTTCTGCGACAGGGGAACCGAAGGGTCGTAGAACTCACGGACAACAATATTGGCGAACCAGCAGATTGGCACGAGTGCCAGCAACCCACAGAACACGTATAACACACCGCCAGTGAGGGCCACGCGCGCCTTCGCCGGGCCCGCAGCCACGCAGGTGGTGCACTGCGCGCCAGCCAGGGTCACGAAGAGCGCAATCAGCGCCAGCAGCGCGGCGCCCACTGTAAGCGCCCGGGCCGCCTGCACCTCAGAGCTCAGCGCCAGCACAGACTCATACACCTTGCACTGCATGTGCCCGGTGCTCTGCACCACGCAAGTCATCCACAGCCCCTTCCAGGTGATCTGAGCCGTCACGATGTTGTGGTCCAAGAAGGCAGTGACTTGCCACATGGGCAGCCCGCACGCCAGAATCAGGCCCAACCAGCCCAGCAGGCACAGCACTAGACCCAGGATTTCCAACGATGCGGACCCCATGGCTGAAGACAAGGTGCGATGGTCCCCGGGACGCCCAGCGCACAGCGGCTGCGCTTTGGTTGGCTTGGCGCCCCGCGTGAGCGCTACTGTCCTTTAGCCTGTGCTGACGGCTGCCGTCTGTCTCCTTGCGGCGCGGTCTGATGCACTGTCTCTGATCTGCTGGCAACTCTTGGGGGCTCCCCATTTGAAGTCTCCGGGGGCGGATCAGCCGCCTCCGGACCCAACCCCTGGGACTCGAGCAGCCAATCCTGGCACCGGCTATTGCCTACAACCAATCGCAAGCTCCCCCGCAGTTGAAGTTAGAGAATAGTGTGTGGGTAGCTGAGGGCACGGGAACCGCGCCCAGTCGGGCCGCAGACCCACCCGCCCGTGTCCTATTCAGGGTCTCCTTCAGGACCGGCCTTGGGCGCTTCACTCGCTCCTCTGGCATGTCCTGGTCTTGGCACTTTAGGAGCTCAAAACCCCCAGGCTGAACTGCCCCCTCCAATTTACATCGCTGCAGGAGTCAACCTTACAGCAATACCACCCTGCAGAGGCCTGCTTGGAAAGGCTCTGGAAGTTCTTTCACTCAGCTGAAGTAAAGTACACCAGGTTTTTCTCCAGAAAGCCCGTCCTGGAGATCAAGCCAGGTCTATTCTTTGCACTCTCCCTCACCAGTGCTCTCTGAGCCTCAGCACTGTGAAGGAGCTATACCAAGCAGAGACAGCAGACCTGCAGGGGTGAGGCACAGGATCCCATCCTCCTTCAAAGGACCTGCCCAACAGGGCCAATACACTCCTTTCTGGAGGTCAGTCCCTCACACAAAGTGGGTGGTATAGCAGCCTTACCTGTACCTGCGATGCCTACTCTGTCCCTGTGCTGTGGCTTTCCAGACCCCTCTGCCTTGGCCTGCTGCTCCTCTTCCTGTGGTGCTGCTTATCCCCCACCCTTTGAAGCCCAGGTCAGGTGGCACTGCTTATGAAAGTCCTTGGAGTTCATAAGCTCTGCTCCCATCGGCTGCATTGGCCCCAGCCAGGCAGCCTACTTTGGTTCTCAGACAGCAGAGACACAAAGGGATATAGAAGCTGTGTACAATCTTCCCATCAGTGGTGGTGATGCCTGCTACCCCAGCCCCCAGGCCAACCTCCGGAAGCCAACTTGGAGTTTCCTGACCTGGAGGAAGAGCCCTCATCCTTGCTGGAGGAGGGATTTCCGGGCATTCTTTTGCACAATGGCCCAGCCATTTCTTAAAAGGTCCACTGGGGTGTATGCTGCAGGCCCCCTAAGGCTCAGGTGGGGGCACTAGGCCACAGCCCCATGGGGCGCCAGTCCTGTCCTAGCAATCTCCTCCCCATCTCCTGATTGCCCCTTTGTTTCTAGTTAAGTCTGGACTCCCAGCCCCTACATTGAGGCTACTGGGTGTATTTTTTCATCTGGCTCAAAGTGCTCAGGCGCTCATAGAATGAGTGTCTTTATTGGGAACAACATGACTTTGATCATCTCCCCATTCTAGGTCCCAGATTCCTTCTCCCTCTTGGAGATGGCTGTTGGGGGAATAAATGAGGTAAGGGCAGTGCCTGGTTCCTTGCTGGAGGCAAGTTTGCTGGGCCCTGGGATAGAGGGAGGTTTTTTAGAGTCCTTGTTTGCCACAGCTGCTCTTCCCCCTACAGAGTGGAGTGCTTCTTCCTAGCTATTGCATCACTGGATGTGTTCCTCCTGCTGACTTTTAGATCACTCCACTTCTGCAGGTCCTCCAGGAAGTTTCCTCACCCATCCACCACAGGGGCCCCTTGTGCTTCCCCTTGGCTCCAGTCCAGGGACCTTTCCCAGCCTCCTTCCACCTTCGATACGTCTTCCAGGGTCAACTGCTGCAGCCTTCACAGATTGTCCAGGCTCCACCCTGGAGGCACTGCACAAGGCTCTCTTTGCCTGCCTACCTGTCTTCCCTAGCTCAACCATTTTAGTACCACTTTGGCGTATTAGTACCACCCTGCAATGCCCCAGGTGAGCTCCTGTTTCTTTGATAGCAGGCTCACAGTATCTCTAAGATCTATTGTGAAATTTTAGGCTGCGTATGCAGTCAAGATACCCATTTGCAGTAGCGCCAGAATTAGTACAGAGAGGCCTAGGGGGGCAGCAGAGGTGGTACTGCTTCCATCAACCCTGCCCACAGACTGAGGATAGCCTACAAGTCCAGATCCAAGTAGGGAATGAAGATAGGCACATCCTTCCACTCACTGGAGATCTGATCACCTACTCTGTGTCAGGCACTGTCTCAGGCCAGAACATGCAATACAGGAAGCTTCTGAGACTGATAATAAACTGTCAACTAATATCTTGACAGGAAACAAAGTAACAAAGTCTCAATAAAGAGTTGACATTTTATAACAGGATTCAGAGAAGAAGTTCCCAGCAAAGCAGAAGGAAACATCGGTGCACATTCCTGAGAGTATATGGGTGCATTTTGGGCTGTAGTGTGGCTCAGTGGTAGGACACTGTCTTCCATTCCTAGCAACATGAAAAAGAAAATACAAGATCCTAGGGCTGGGATAGGGCTTAGAGTTAGTCTGGGGACAGAAAGAGACTGATATAGCCAGAATTCCACAGTGGCCCAGGCCTGCAGACCAAGTTGAGTTTGCCAAAGAGGGCCATGAAGGAACATGACTCCTGATCTCTGGTGAGGGGCTCAAGGCAGGCCTGGCCATGGCCACCTGTTCATTCACAAGCTATTGTTCTGATTTCCCAAGGGAAGAGCCACAGGATCTCATTAATTGTGTGAGAGAAAGGCCTGAGTTGGCAGAAAAGCAGTTTATCTTAAGCAGCTGCTGGCTGACCCTGCCCCAGGGAGACCCACTGATCTTCCAAGGACAATCTAAATTTAGGCTCCAATTTTCTGGCGATTGAGGTTTGGGAAGCTCCTAGCTAACAGATTTCACTTCAAGGGAAATGGAAAACAACACTCCCTCTATTTTTTGGCTTTGAAACAGTTAAGAATGTTTCCTTCCCATTCAGCAGATATTTACTGAACTTCTAAACTGCAGTACCCTTTCTTGCCGAGAGTCAAAGCCTGCAGGGCAACAACTTGGGCCCTTCTGTATCTCTGACCACCGGCCTGGGTGGGAGGCCACAGGCATCCTGCCCCCGAGTAGCACCAGCTTCACTGCTGTTGGCCCTGCTGCTGTTCTGTGTTGTCAAGAGTAGACACAAACTCAGATTTATCCCGGCAAGCAGTCAACTTTCTAGACTGGTAACCTGACTTTAGTTTCCCTGTTGAAGATGAAGCTCTGTGCGGTAGAAAAGGTATGACTGCAGGAGTTGGTGGTGCTGATGCTGATCTATCCTGGACCTCTGATCCCGTTCTAGAGAGGCCTTCAGCCTTGTAACTTTCAATAGCTCCTTTGACCTTTGTAGCTCACTTGATCTCAGTCCCTTCTCTCAGGATGGCTATCACTGGCTGTTTGTCAAAATCTAAGGTCACTATGACTTTAATTTCTTTAGCAGGAAGGAGGATCTGGTAGGGGAACTCTAGTTGACAGAGCCCTTCGGTCCTATAGACCCTTTCCCATTTGAGGACTGCAGCACAGCTGGGCATGGGGTGCACCTGTAATTCCAGTACTATAGGAAAGTGAGGCAGGAGAATTGCAAGCCTGGGCAACTTAATGACTTAGCAAAATCCTATCTCAAAATAAAAAGTTTTAAGAAGAGCTGTAGCTCAGTGCAAAGGTCCTGGGTTCAATTCACAGTACTGGAGTGAGGGTGGGGGAAGGGTGTGAACATGGGCAATTTATTCTAAAGGTGCAAAACTTGGGAATGATAATGGGCTTGAAATCAAAGGGTTGTGAAGGGGGCAGTGCAAAGCTGGTTCTAGTTCAAGACAGACATTGAATTGATGTTAGAGGTGATATTATTGTCGTCCCTGGGAATCCATGGTGGATTGTTTCCAGGATCTCATTCCCACCCCTTGAATACCAAAATGCCAGATGCTTACATCTTTTATGTAAGTGATGTAATATTTCACACAACCTAGGTGCATCTTCCCACATACTTTAAATCATCTCTGGGATACTTACAGTGGGATACTTATAGGACCTCCAAATGATATCAGGGAGATATTATAAATCCCAACCTGTCAAGTGTCTGATATGCTGAGTTTGTATTCCTTAAAATTGAAGAATGAATGTAGGAGTAAAGGAAGTTAAGAATAGGAAATATTTACCGAGGGGGAGAGATACAGCTCCTGAGGGGAAAAAGGGGTTGTTGAAGACCCTCAGCATTTTGGGGGAGAAGCTTTATAGAACACAACCATGTGGATTAAAGTTATGATCAACCAATAAGATTATAAGCATAGCCACTTAAGCTATATTGATCTAATGGGTGAAGCATCCAAATATTCATGGATAAGCAAAATGTGGCATAGCCATAAATGAATATTATTCAGTCATGAACAGGTATGAGAGATACTGGGAACAGAACAGATGAACCTAGAAAATATGCTAAATTGAAGTTGGGCACAAAGGCTTTTGTATTGCATTAATGTAAAATGTGTAGGGTAGCTAATCTATGCTATAAATAAAGTAGTTTAGTGGCTAATATAGGATTGGGAAGACAGGGTGGAGAATGAAGATTGACTGAAGGTATCTACTTGTAATTCCAGTACTCTGGGAAGCTGAAGCAAGAGGATTGCAATTTGGAGCTCAGCCTGGACAACTTAGTGACTTAGTAAGATCACCTTTCAAAATAATTGTTTTAAAAAGAATTGAGGATGTGGCTCAGTGCAAAGACCCTAGTTTCAATCACCAATATCGGAAAAAAAGAACATGAGTAAAATAGAACATATATATTTTAATTGTGCAAAAAAATTCCTTCAAACAGATATGTTTAATGTGTCGAATTGTTTTCTGATCATGTTAGAATCTAACTGCGCATCAATAAAAAAAAAAGATAACAAGAAAATGCTCAGAATTTATTGTATACAAACAACATACTTTTCTTTTCTTTTTGGGGGGAGGGCTGGTACTGGGGGTTGAACCCAGGTCCTTGGTATTTTGCTACATCCCCAGACCCTTTTATGTTTGAGGTATAGTCTCACTAAAGTCACTAGTTGCCCAGATTGGGCTCAAACTTAGGATCCTCCTGCTTAGCCTCCCACAGTGCTGAGACTTCAGGAGTGTACCACTGAGCTAAGTTTAAG